CAGTCAGGAAGCTCTGCTAGAGAAGGGATTGGCTACCCACTCCAGTATTCTTGGGCTTCCCTGGTGGCTTAGCTGGTGAAGAATCCCCCTGCAATGTGGAAGACCTGGGTTCGACCCCTGGGTTGGGAAGATCTCCTGGAGGAGGGCATGGCAACCCACTCCAGTTGCCTGGGAAATCCCATGGACAGAGGAGCCTGGTGGACTATGGTCCATGGGGTCACAAAGAGTCAGACACGACTGAGTGACTAATACACATCCATTCAAGAACACATATGCAATTCATTCATCTATTCCTATGTATATTATTGAATAACTGAATATTATATAGTCTTACATTTGCCAAGAGAGAATGATTTTCTATATAAGATTTTTTTTTAAATGTCCACTTATTGGATTGCCAGGTCTTAGCTGCAGCACATGGGTCCTTCACTGTTTTGCATGTGGGCTGTTAGCTATAGCGTGTGGCATTAATTCCATGGCCCGGGATTGAACCTGGCCCCACTGCACTGGGAGCCTGAAGTCATAGCCACTGGACCACCAGGAATCTCCCTCTGTATCAGGCATTGATATACATATTTGTTATTGCTTAAATAATACACCTAATTTCAGAGAGAGCGAGTTACAGTGAACACCAAGTAGACAGTGGTCTGGGAGGTGCCGGATGCAGAAGCCCGCGGGGGCGGCCCTCATGTGGGGGGTGTTTCTGGGTCACAGGTCTGCAGCTCCCTTGGAAAGCCATCACCTGGATTCTGGACGAGCCCTCCGCAAACCCTCCGAGGCCAGCACTCCTCAGATTAAATATTTAAAAGGTGAAGGAGGAGGAGGACAAAAAGCGTGGGGTGTGAATCCTTTCAAAAAGCCGCAGCAGCCAAGTTTGGATGAGCTTATAAATTAATGCCCCGATTGCTCCCTGTGAAGAAAATGGAATTACAGAACTTGGAAGGTGTCTGTGTTCCAGCCAGACTCCTCTGAGATGTGAGGCCCATGGGTGAGCACCCCCCAGGGCTGAGCCCCCACACCCACGGTCCTCGGGCGGGCGGGAGCTGGACGGCCAGGCTGCGCTGATGGGGCAAAGCCAGCACTTGGGCCACAAGCGTATGCTGGCACACAGGCAGCAACTCACCTGAAACCCAAGAGTCCCAGTAGTCGTCATCATCCCCTTCTATTTACAGGTGGACAGACTGAGGCAGCGTGGTCGCCTGGCTGGGGATGTAAGAGCCGGACGATGGTAGGTCCGGGATTTGAACTCAGGACACCCGTGCGCCACCACTGTGTGCCAGAGACCCGGGGCACACGGTCGACCCACCGAGAGGCTCAGGGAGCCAGGCTCAGCTCTCAGGTCCACAGAGCGCCTCCTTAAATCACTTCCAGGGCTGAGAGGAGGCTGGGGCAATGGTGATGATTTAGGCTGCCCGTCACCTCGTCCCGACACTCTAAACACTTGCCTTCCGGGCAAGGAAAGCCGGCCTCCTTCCGTCCTCCCCGATTCCTCCAGGAGTGAAGGCCTGACTGCTCCAGGGATTGGAACAGGGGTCCCACTGGCTCCGCTTTGCTGTTAGAGCCACCCACTGGCTCCGCTTTGCTGTTAGAGCCACCGCGTGTGGCAGGAAACGCCCCAGGGGTGCCCTCTCCACTCATTGCCGCCCCGGGCCCTGAGTCAAGCCCTCAATCGCAGCCATCATCGCCCCCCAACCCTGACTTCTCCCCAGCGCCCAGCAGCATGCACGCCAGCTCAGGCTTGAGCCAGAGAGCAGGGCAGACTCTCACGCCCTCCTCACCTTCCTCAAGTCCCAGCCTGAGCCCTGGCCCTTGACCACCAGCGATCTGGGCCTGCCTGTCCACCCTCACCACCCCCAGGCTTACGGACTCCTCGGGAACTCCACGGAGATGAGAGGGAGCCGTGGGCAGGGTCGGCTCCAGGGAGGGGCTGAGTTGGCCGGGCCCCCCTGCACACCAGCTGGTGGGCCTGGGCTGCCTTCTCCTCTCAGGGGGAGACGTGACTCCAGGGGTGGGGCAGAAGAGGAGGCAGGAGCTCACTGCTGCACGCGTTCATGTCTGCAAATGCCCCACACGGAGGCACGGAGCGGGGGTCCCAGCAGAGAGGACCAGGGCATCTGACTCCAAGAGCTCAGAGCTGAACTACTCCGGAGGGAGCCCACAACCTCGGGGCTGGATCAGACCCAGGAGGGGGCAGGTCAGGCTTACAGGCTGCACCCCAAGCTCTTGGGAGACGGAGGCTGAGGGCTAGAGGTGGGGACCCCCCATTCTGGGGCCAGGGAGCCCACAGATTTGAAGACAAAGAAATCCTAGTCAGAGCAGAAAGAAATCGCCCCCCAGCTGTGACCACCAGCAGCCTTTCCACACGTGCGGCTGTGTCCTCGCTCCATCCACAGGACAGAGGGGCCGCCGGGGGGCTGGCCCGGGCTCAGCTCAGGTAGCCCGCCCCTCGGAGGATGCCAGCCCTTGGAGTGGAGGATGCGGCCTGTGTCTGTGCACCTTTGGGGTCTTCCTGCCCCCCTCCTGGGGGAGAAGAGGCCTCAGGGGGAGAGCGCAGAGCAGTTAGAGCAAGCAGAGGCTGGCAGGGCTGTGCGGGCGTCAGACCCTCTTCTCCACTGGGAACGGGCATCAGCCACGCCGGGAGGGCTGGGTGGGGAGGGTGACTGCCCAGCGCTGTGCCGGTCGCGTCTGCCAGCAGCTGGGGGGTGTCGGGGAAGCGGATGTTCAGGGTTTGCCAACAGCTATGGTGTCAATACTCTGGGCGAGGCTGACTTCATGTCACAACCGGCCGGCCGTGAGTGCGGAGTCAGGAAACGTGAGCAGGCTCCAGCACACTCATGGGCAGGCCCGCCTGTCTGTCCTCTGCCCAAGGACCAGGCAGCCCGTGGCCGCGGATGTCACAGCACCCCGCGCCACCGCCGCTGGGGTCCCCACCCCCAGGGGCTGCAGCTCTCAGCAGGGCCCCCTTCCTTCCACCCCTCCCTGCACCCCAGGGTCGCCCTTCGTCCTTGAACCTCCGACCTCACCGAGAGGTCACGGGTGCCGCTGCAGGCCTCCAGTGGGTCTGTCTAAAACACCTCCATCTACATGAGCTTTAATTTTCCTGAACTCAGAGGCTGCTGAAGGGAAGCCTGGACCTGAGATTTCTGACCTCACCCTGCCCGATCCCACCAGTCCCATCTTGGCCAGTCGGAGCGGGTATGGACATGCCCAGGCACCTCCCAGGGCCAGAACCTGCAGCTCCAGAGGCTGCATGGGCGCCAGCTGGCCTTGGGCCTTGCGTTTCACAATCTCACCTCCTATGTTGTTACAGCACTCCTCAAGGAAGAGTTTTTATCTCTGTGTTTAAGGAAATGGCAACCCACTCCAGTACTCTGCCTAGAAAATTCCATCGATGGAGGAGCCTGGCAGGCTACAGTCCACGGGATTGCAAAGAGTCAGACATGACTGAGCGACTTCACTTTAAGAGAGAGAGAGATTCACCAGGCCAGGGAATCTGGTCCTTTCCCAGAGCAGAGGGCAAAATCTCAGCCTGAAGGTGGGCCTCCCGACCTTGGTGCTGCCCCCACACCCTCTGCTAAGGGCCCGGAGGGGTCACAGTCTCCCAGGACAGGGAGGGGGTGCCTGGGGGTTGAAAACTGAAAACTGAAGCGTGTCCTGAGCAGGGCGTGTCTGCAGGCAGCTCCTCTGGGGCCCAGCGGTTCTATGCGCCGTGCAGGGGTGGCTGGGAGTATGGAGCTGATCCACAAAGAAATGATGACCACGAGGTGGGACGTCACAGGGCAGAAGACACCGGGATGAGCAGACTTCTCCGAGAGAGGAGGCCCCCAGCCCGAGGCCCGTCTTCCACTCCTGGCTGAGGGCCAGACACTCCCAGGGGCCAGCAGAGAAGTGGGGTGGCGGGGGAGGGGGTGAGTCGGGTGTTTGATCAGATGACTCAAACCGCCGCGTGCCAGCCTTCCCCAGGCGGGTGGGAGTGGACACGGGGGTGAGAGGCGGGTCCCAGCCCCTCTCAGAGCCCCTCAGGCCTCCTCCAGAGCCTGAGAGTGCAGGGCAGAGGAACAGGGCCCCAGGGCCCCGTGGGATTTGAGGGATCATGAAATGCTGGCCCGGTTCAACCGGAGGAGACGAACCGTGCCTGTGAGTGACGGGCTGTGTGGACGGGGAGCCCTCTGCACACAGAAGGCTCGCTCACTCTGGAGGAGAAGCAGGCGGGGGGACACACAGAGGGCTCAGGCCTGGAGCTGAGCAGGCTCTTTAAGAAAAAAAAAGCAAAACACGGCAGTCAAGGAAATCTGAAGAAAAAGAAATCGCAGCACATTTTAAACTTCCAAGTGCTGGGAAGGCCACCGATATGACAGAATCCAGGGGAAACCACAACTTTTCTATTAATTGACAGCCCCCTGTAAGCTGCTTCTCCTGGCAGCACACTTTCTCATGGCTTTCTGAGTGGCAATTCCGTGGGCTCATCTCCTGGGGAGCTGACGGTCTTGACTCCAGCACAGCTCGGTGAAACATTCACGTTATCATCACTGATGCTTAGAGAGATTTCATTCTTTGTAGCTCAGTGCCGGTAATGTCATGCCGTTTTTTTCTCAGATGCTTGTCAAACTGGAAAAATACCTCTTGAGTGTCTTTCAGGTCATAGCGGTGCAGTTTGTGCTGGTGCGGTGAGTCCTGGGGCGGCCACAGAAGACGCTGGGCCGCCAGCCCACGTGCGGCCAGGATCCCGGGCCAGGTGGGGACGGCAGTGCCCAGGCCGAGCGTGTCCGCGGCCGTCCCACGCCCCCTGCTGCCCTCGGCCTCGCAGAAAGAACCCTGACGTCGGATGCCCTGACCCACTTGTGTCCACACGCCCAAACAGGAACAGATTCTGGATTTCCCCTGTGCTCTCGGTATGTGCTCGACATTTCCCAACAATCCATTTATTCAGAAACATCGACACATTTAATCGTAATTCTAACCAATTTTGTCAGGCCTCCTGATGCTTCCGCCATGACTAGGGATCTTCATCGTCAGTCACTGCTCTGCTGGGACCGAAGTTCTCCAGCACGTTGTCCGCCTCACTGTCTCCTCGGGCAGCTGTGCAGAGGCCCGAGCTGCCCTGGGCACCAAGGACACATCCCCTGCCAGCAGGGAGCCACGCGGAGGAGCGGGTGCCGTGCCCGCCAGAGGCAGGAGAGGCCCCGACTGCAGGGTCAGGGGAGGCAGGCGGGCGCTGACCGAGGTACGAGAGGGTTCTGCGTGGACCGCAGCCAGGCCACCAGCTCAAGGACACCCAAGACAAAAAAGCCAGGAGAGGAGAGTGACCTACAGCCCACCCTAAAGGGCATCGGTCACTGCTTAGAGGAAAGGAAGGCGGACGCGAGCTCCAGGAGGTGGGAACAGCGTGTGGGAAGGGCCGAGCAGGAAGCAGTGGACAGGTGCCCTGGACAGGAAGTGACCGATGGATGTCAAAGGGGCTTCTCTCTGTCTTCAGGGAGGCGGGAAGCCATTGAAAGGCTCCACCTGGTGGCGGGGGGTTCCCTGAGCAAGTCCAAGGGGGACCCAGGTCAGCGTGGAGGATGGGCCAGAGGGGCAGAGGGTGGGGCCAGGTGGGAGGAGGCAGCTATCCAGACCGGAGAGGGTAGTCTGGGCTGAGACCAGGCAGGAAGTGGCTGAGGCCTGGGAGGAACCAGGGGTCTCTGGGGAAGGATCTCACCTGGGTGGGGTCGGGTCGGGGCAGGGCGGGGCCCACCCAGGGTGCCCTCTCCACCTCTCCGCTCACTTGCTCACTGACCACAGTCTTCGATCACGGGGGCCTTGTTTCTCCCGCTCACCCACGGGAAAAATAGCACATACTGCACCCTGGCCTCCCGTCACCCCACACTGTGAGACGCACACGTGGGCTCAGGGCCCCCGGTCTCTCCCTTACAGGCAGACAGGCCCCTGAGAGCCCCTCCCAGGGAGGGAGCCTCGGGCAGGCAGGCAGCAGCAGGCTCCATTCTTCCTGTGCCAAGGATGAGCCGGGCTAGCCTGTCTGACAGCCCCTGTCTCCTTTGCAATGTTCCTTAGGGCAAGCACCCAGCCGTATTCATCTTTATACATGACAGCCTGTTCAGGGGTTGTTGAGATATTCCCATTTTACAGATAAGAAAATCTTTCTTGGAGAGAGTCCCCCAGGCCAAGACCCAAGGAAGGCCTGGCAAAAGAAGATGCGAGGACTTGGCAGGTCCTTCTGGGAATCGTGCTCATCTCCAACCAGAGGCTGCTCTGCCCCGTTCCTAGGACTGCACTGCCGTGAGGCCAGGGCCCAGGCTCCCACCAGCCCTCGCCCAGGTCCCCTGGCTGTGCCCAAGGACTGTTCCAAAGGGCCATCCTCACCAAGGGGGCCGCGCATGCCATTGTGCTTTGGGGTCTGGGAGCCGGATTGGAGCCTGCGCAGGGCTCTCTGGGTCTGCAGCCCCAGACACTGTCTCACGGCTTCCTCCCCTGTCCTGCCTGCCTGCACCGTGCCCACCAACCTGGATAACCCAGGCCCACCCTTGTGATGGTCAGCTTTCTGTGAGTATAGATATGGTACCCAGTCAGATCACCAAACGCAAACCTCAGTGCTATTTGGAGGATTTTGCAGAATATTAACACAACAGTCATTCAACTTTAAGGAAAGGTGATTAGCCTTGACAATAGGGCTGGGCTTCACCCCACCCAGGAAAGCCTTAACAATAAAAACTGAGATTCCCTGAAGGAGAACCCATCTTCAGAAGTGCAGCATCAAATCTGGCCTGAATTTCCAGGCTTTGTGCTGTTCAGACGGGCCCACCTCCACCATCACGGGAGCCATCCCTTTAGAAAGACCTCCTGCTCTCTGTACACTATGGTTCTGTCTGAGAACGCGCAAACACCCAGGCTACTCTGACGAATACACACTCTCCCTGTCTGCCTTCTAGGCTCAAGGAAGAAACAGAACTAAAGGAAATGTGGTGTGGACACTTGCCAAGAGGGCCCATCTTCCTCCAGTTAATAGCTGGACATGTAACAGGCCACAAGCCTGGCCCACATCTCAGAGTCCAGGATCTGAGTCTAAACTCTGCACTGGGTTGAATAATGTCCCCCCAAGATATGTTCAAGGCCTGATCCCCTGAGCCTGTGAACAGGAACCTCACTTGGTAAGAGGGTCTCTGTGGATGTGATGAGTTAGGTTGCCTGGCTTTGGGCGACCCCAGTAGCATGACTGGCCTCCTGCAGGAAGAGGAGGACCCGGACACAGACAAGAGGTTACGTGTAGATGGAGGCGCAGGCGGGAGTGACGTGTCTACAAGCTAAGGGTCATGAAGGGTTGCCAGAAACCACCAGAACCCGGGAGAGAAGCACAGAACAGACTCTGCCTCTGAGCCTCCAGGAGGAGCCAGACTGCTGACACCTTGACTGCAGCCTGCAGGCCTCCCGGACCCTGGAAGCACTGGCCCAGTTTGTGGTGCGCTGCTACGACAGCGTGAAGAGAGTGATGCTCTGTTCTCAGTGCCCTGTCCCTGATCGCAGACATGGGGGGAGCTCTCTGCACACCCCCACGCATGCCTGCTCAGCTCTGTCCAACTCTGCCACCCCATGGACTGTAGCCCATCAGGCCCCTCTGTCCATGGGATTTCCCAGGCAAGGGTACTGGAGTGGGTGGCATTTCCTTCTCTGGGGGATCCTCCTCAGCCAGGGATCGAGCCTGCATCTCCTGCACTGGCAGGTGGGTTCTGTACCACTGAGCCCCCTGGGAAGCCCCCACCCCAATCAAAGATACTAATGTTTTACAAGCACCCACTATCCTGCTGTTGAACTCTGAACAGAGACCTCATTTGAGGTCAGAAACACCTTCCATAAAGAGACCCGCCATCGTGCAGACTCTGACTTACAAGCTACAATCACCTCCATCGGTGCTGGGACCCAGAGGGACCTCAGGAGTCCTCCCCCTGGCTCACCTCCAAGGTCAAGTCTGGGGCATGTGCAGTGACTACAGAAAGACCCATCATCCCCTCACCAACGTGCTGCAGCCCAGACGTCCCCACGCCTGGCCCATTGCCCGATCCACATACGACGTTACGGGCTAAAGCAAGTGGGTTCCTGGAAGTCCTAATTTCCAAGGCAGCTAAGCCCAAGCCTGCTGAGAAGGACACCTGCATCAGGATATTTGCGTCATATATTTCTGCTGGAAAAACCCACTGTGAATGCTCGCAGCCTAGAGTCATCAGCACAGAGATGTTTGATTTGTGCGAGGACCTGGAGCCGCGTTCGGCAGCTCCTGTGGGCAGAACTTCACAGCTGTCTCCCCCTCGCTCCTTTTCTCGCCATCTCTCTATCTCCAGGCAAGAGAAAGCTGACAGGTGAGTCTTTTTCTACCCGTAGCTGCAATTTGACATTAATAACATGAGTGATCAGCAATCAGCTGGCAATGAGTGGCGCCATGATAGAAAAGGGGATGAAGCTGAGGCCAGAGTAACGCTGCGTTCAGAGTGAGCTGGGCTGTACTTGAAGACATCTCATCATAGAAGTTTATTGTGCAACTTACTGTTTGGGGGAAAGAAACCTCTGCAGGCTCACTAATAACCTCACTAATGGCCTGAGGTCCCTGAGCCCTGCTTCCCTGGCTTTGAAAGGAATCGATGTCCCCGGGATGGAGACGCTGAATCTGAAAGGAACAGGTTTCAGTAGGAACAATAGACATTTTCCAGTCTGTTCCAGAAAGATCATCTGGACGGGTTTGGTACACACTCAGAGAACGATAGGAAAGACTCGGTCTTCTGAAGGTGTGGAACCAAATGAGATGCATGAAACGAAATACTCGTGAGGTTTGTTTTCTGTTCACGAACTCCATCCACCTTGCCCTCTGCCTGTAGATGCCCTCTGATCCCAGTCGGGGTTCTGCCAAAGGGGCGGGGGCAGCAGGGGCTGTGAGGTGGGGGGGTCGGGGTGCTACTCCCCAGCGCCTTCCTCCAGCCTGAGTTTGAGCGGGGCAGCCTTGCTGTCCAAGCCCCTGAGGCCCACTTTCTCCGCAGCTTTCCTTTGCTCAGCATCTCTTCTCTGCCCTTCCGTGGACCTTGCAGCTAACCAGGGGCTGTCTGCGTCCCGCACGCCTCCCCACAGGCCTCTCAGGTATCCCTGGCGATCTTTCTTCTAATGTCAGCGGCAGCGTGACCTCGTGGATCTTTGCAGAAGCCTAACTGTTGGGAAAGTACCTGCCAGCCGCCCTGGTCCAAGCTGGTTATCACGTCCGCCCTCTGGGGAACGGGTTTCTGTTTCTGCTCTAGAATCCACACCCCCCACCCCCCGCACAGGGTCGTGTCTGACATCGCTGAGTTACGGAGACTCAGAGGGAGGAGGGGGTGGTCCAAGTCCCCGGGAGCCACGGGCAAGAGACTAAAGACCCCCGGGGGGCTCGCAGCCAGGGAAGGGTGGCCTCGTGCCAGAGCTAATGGGACTAATGGTTATTTCTCAAAGATTTCAAAGCAGAAGCAACTCTCCCCCAAATTAAGGATATACACGCTGCACGTTCCTAAAGACTCAGGTCTCAAGCACTCAGCACATATTCTCTGAAGCCTACTCGTGTGTCTGGCGCTGTTCTGGGGTCTGAATCACAGTGGGCAAAGCCTTCTCAGCCCATGGGAAGTCCACCATCCACTGCAGCATCCGTGTAACAGCTGGAGCCGAGGAGGACACCCCCTGAGGGCAAAGGCAGGGGTCACCACCACCTGTCTCTGGGGCTGCTCACAGGTACAGGCTCAGAGGCCCTCTGAGAGGTTTGGGTCCAGCCCAGGAGGCCTGGGAATCTACATCTCACCATCAGGTGAGTCCCTACCGTGGTCTAGAAACTCGCTCAGACAGAAGCTGCATTTCTGTATCTGGCTGTGCTCTGACCCCGGGAATGCAGGACCCTGGAGGAGGCTGAGCCGGATTTCACGCTAGCCTTCTGCCCTGCAGAGCTTCCGCCAAGGGTCCCACGATGTCGGGGCCTCTGTGACTGTCCTACTGGATGGGTAGACTGAGGACCACTCCAGGCACAGACCCTGCAGTCTGGGGGTGGCACCAGCCTCACCGCGGCTACTGGGCCCCCACCTCTGAGGATCGGCCGCCACTCTCAGAGCCCCCCTCCCCCAGCTGGTCTGATGCCTTAGCAAGGCCAGCTGCCTCCCTCACGGCTCCACCCTGCCCGGTCCTGCGGCCTGGATACTGTCCCAGGGCCACCCCGATGCCTTCCCCTCACCTCCACCCTGGAGAGGTCTCTCCCAAAAGGGAGGCAAGTCCCTGCCCGGCGCCGGGCCTGAGCCCTGGGAGTGCAGGCTTCCTGCTCCCGTGCGCTGTGTCCGAGACGTGCCTCACGGAGGCGGCACAGGGAGGCCTGCTGGCCATCAAGGCTGCTAAAGACCCAGCCCCTCCCGTCTCCCCGCATCCGCCGGGTCCCTGCTTCATCCCCCAGCAGACTCCTCGCCAGCCCTGGGCATCACTCCACGTTTCTCCCAGGCTCTGACCTGACCCGTCCAGGGCTCACCTGAGCCTGGGTCCAGCTTTGCTCCTGCTCTGTCCAGACAGTGAGTGTGGTGCCGGAAAACGCAGCCTCGAGCCCCGCGGGCCTGGCCCCCAGGCAGCAGGCACAGAGCCGGGCAGTGCTCGGAAACGCAGCCTCTGCCTCCCGTTCTGCTGCCACACAGGCTGGGGAGCCCGTGGCCCTCCTGTTGACCCTCAGGGCTGACATCGTAGAGGGACCAGCCCCCCCCCCCACCACGCTTAACCACGGGGCCAGAGGACCTCACCAAACATGATTCAGAGCCAACCAGTGTCCACGGCTGCGGACCCACGATCCGCTCGCTCCGAGCTGTAGAGGACGGGGAGGTGTCATCGCCGAGGGACAATGTTCAGACAGAGAAGACGCAAGTCACTGCAGTCAGTCCTGCCCCAGCGGCCGCAGCCCCGGCTCCCTCTCGATCCCGGGTGGGCTCTGCCCCCCGACGTGGCCGTGGCGCTGAGACGCTGGCACAACGCTGTCCAGCAGACACACTCTGGGCGAGGCTGGGGCCCCCCCAAAAGTGGGCTGTGAGCGGGACCGAGACATACCTGAGCCCCCCATTCCTGGAGAGTCTCACGCAGGACAGCTCGTGCCGGGACGCGGCTCCCAGCGAGCGAGACCTCCTGTCACAGCTGCCCTATTCTGAAGCAGAGTGTCCCCTCTCGGCTTCCCGCCACAACACGACACTAGGCCAGAGGCGGCTGAGAGCCTGGGAGACGGTCACCGGTGTGGGAACGCTGCTCAAAGCCGCGTGGGCAGCCTCTGCAGAGACAGAGTTCTCAGCCAGCTGCAGGCGAACCCCCAGCCCTGCTCCCGTCACCCAGGTGCTGAGATGACTGTGACCCCCACTCCACATCTCCCTAAGTCCCCTGGGTGTGACACTTGGATATACAGCCCTGCAGATGCAATCAGCTAAGACAGGGTCGCACTGCTCTAGCCTGGGACTCTAAGCCGAAGGCTGATGCCCTTGAAGGGGCAAACACATGCGGAGGGCAAGGCCGGGTGGCACAGAGCCGGGAACTGGAGGGGTGTGGCTGCGAGCTAAGAACATCCGGGATCCCAGCTATCGCAGGAGCCTGGCGAGCAGCAGGGCTCCCGGCAGAGCTCAGCTTGGGGCAGCCAGCAGACACGTGGGTTTCTGGCTTCTGGCCTCAGAGCTACGAGAGGAGGACCCGCGGCTTGGGGTGTTCTGTTAGGGCAGCCACGGGAAGCTGCTGTCCAGATGCCACCCAGGGGTTGGGGTGCAGGCCGTGTTAGTTACAGGGGCATCTGGGGAGGCAGGAGCCCCCCAAGGTCACAGTCAGGACGGAAAATCCCACGATGAGCCTCCCGTGTCCACAGTTTCTGGGTGGAGCCTGTGTGTCCACTCACGCCTGTGGGATGGTGGATACTGGAGCATCCAAGGACCAAGCAGATGTACATCATACATTGTACACAGAGCGCATCATGCAAAAGGTCCGTTCAGTCAAAGCAATGGTTTTCCCAGTAGTCATGTATGGATGTGAGAGTTGGACCATAACGAAGGTTGAGCACTGAAGAACTGATGCTTTCGAACTGTGGTGCTGGAGAAGACTCTTGAGAGTCCCTTGGACAGCAAGGAGATCAAACCAGTCAATCCTAAAGGAAATCAACCCTGAATATTCATAGGAAAGACTGAGGCTAAAGCTCCTTTGGCCACCTGATGCAAAGAGCCAACTGATTAGAAGAGACCCTGATGCTGGGAAAGACTGAAGGCAGGAGGAGAAGTGGGGTGACGGAGGATGAGATGATTGGATGGCATCATGGACTCAATGGACATGAGTTTGAGCAAACTCCAGGAAATAGTGAAGGACAGGGAAGCCAGGCGTGCTGCAGTCCATGGGGTTGCAAAAAGTCAGACATGATTGAGCAACTGAACAGCAGATTGGGGAGCGGGAGCCCCCCAAGGTCACAGCATGGAAGGAAACTCCCACGATGAGTCTGTACGTCCCCTCTGCCCGTGGGAAGGTGGCCATCGGGGCATCCAAGGACCAGGCGCCAGAGCCCGCCCGGACCCCGATCTCTCAGCAGAGCTGCCTGCCTCCCGGCTGGAGGCCTGGCTGCGCTTTGATGCTTCAGTCGCCGGCCAGGAGCAGGGGCTTGTGTCCTGCGCTCACTGGTGACCTCTCTCTCCGTGGTGGCCGCAATGTCAGGGGTTTCTCTCAGGCAGCACAGCGAGTCCGAAACGTTCAAATCCACGCGGGGTAAGTGCGGGTCAGATGATGACTCTGAGGCGCCCTCGGCCCCGAGAGCATTCACAGCCCTCTGCTTCTGCCCCAAATGCAATTTGAAAAGAACCACTGAATTCTAGGACTCAAGAACTGTGATCTTGCCCCCAGAGGACATTCAGATATGCCTTTGGTTTTTTTCGGTGAAAAATCAAGCAGTTGATGATGCCACGGTGTATTCCTGGTCTTTGCGGACACCCTGCGTTGAGGAGTCCTCGGCCACAGTGACTCTGACCTTTGAGGGACCCGGCACTGGATGTGGGAGAGGAGCCCCAGAGAGGCAGAGAGGAGGACGACGCAGGCACTGCTGCCCAGGGCAGGGCTTGTTGGAAGGCCTGGAGGCAGGCGGCACAGCCGGAAGGACCCTGAATTCTCAGCGTGTCCCAGGGAGACGCAGGCCTTGCCCTCATCTTCAGAGCCAGGGGCCAGCAGCCTGGGGAGACTGGGCCCCCAGAAAGCTGTGGAGAGGGGAGGCAGGCCGTGCCCCTGGCCCCTCTGTGCCAAGTCTGCCGGGCAGTCCTCAGCCAGAGCTGCTGGGTCTGGCCTGTGACTGGTGACCCCAGGATGGGGGGGGTCACCAGCGAGAGTTTGTGCCGGGCTGAAGAGGGTTGGAGCAGCGTGGATGGCAGGCCGTGTCCTGGGCCGGGGTCTAACCGGCAGAGACACATCCGTCTGCACACAGCACAGCCCAGGCCAGCCCCCGTCATGGGGGCGTCAACCTCTGGGTGAGACCATCTCGTGAGCGTGTGGGCCATGCTCTGACAATCTAAGGAGGTTCTGCCCTTAAATAAGGCTCACGCTCGTTCCCAGCAAATCACACCGAGGCTGACACAGAAGGCAAGCTGCAAAGATGCTGTGATTAAGGAACGTGCAGACCCTGTCCGTCTCCTCCCCCTGCGTGGGCTCACAAAGCCCCCGTGAGCCAGTTCCCCACTGAGGTTTGCGATTGCTTTTGATGGATTCTAAGCTGAAAAGTGTTTGCTCTCGTCCTTTCAGGGCTGTGGACTCTGTAATATGAGCCAAAATAGGAAAAAAGAAGGATGGCATTGCCCGTGCTCCCCCTCCTGCAATTTCTACCCTCATCAGGGAAGGAGCCATCACAGGAATTACTAACATGCTTGAGAAAATAACCTGTTAAGAAAATGCATTTAGGTATAATAAAATGAAAGGGGCTTGCTTCCCTCCCCAGAGGAGTTACACAGAGGGACGTAAAAGTGATGTTATGACATAACCTTCCCGCTAAACATGTTGTGCCCAACAAGGGCATCAGGATGATGTAAACGGAGCAGGAGAGCGAGCCGAGGGCAGAGCCCAGACTGCAGCCCGGAACAGTTCCAGGACCAGGAGTGTGAGCTCGTCGACACCTGGGTCTTCTCAGAGGGTTCTGGGCATCGCTGGGGAAAAGCTGATGTCACAGCCAAACGTCTGCTGCCCAGGAAAACCGCTAGATGCCAGGGCTGCATGCAGGCTGACACATTCAGCTTTGCAGGCCCAGAGGCCTGCAGGCTTTGGGGGAAATGGGGAGAGCAGGAGCCTGCACCAGACCGCCTGGCATGAGCTATCTTCTCATCATCCTTTGCCGGCTCGTGGCCCCGGCTCGGAGGAGGTGACTGAGTAGGGATGAGTGTGCCAGGCAGGAACGCGGCCTCCCCACTTCTCAGCACCGGGCCGTTCTGGCCGGAGTCCGCATCTCCTCGACAGGACGTGGCTACGGCAGGGGCCGGGCGGGGGCGGGTCTGCGTGGAGCACTCAGGCCGGGCTTCTCGCTGTGGAGCGCAGCCCTGGGAGGCCAGAGCACCGACTGCATGGAGAGCAGTTCCCACCCTGCACACGTGACCGGTCGGTTCTGTGAAGTCCGCAAGAACAGTTTTTAAGTGTCTGACTTGACCTCTCAAGCTGTAAACAAACGTGAGAACGTTCCGTTCCTTACTCACTTACCACCAGCTTAAGTGACGCTGTGATTTCTCAACGATGTCTTCCCCAAATCCACCGGCTTTGCTTTTCCTTTTTGTCCAAGGTACGTCTCTAGAGGTAAATGGGTCTGAATTCATTCCGAATTTTCAGCAGGAACTCTTTTCATTTCTCCTTTAAAAAAAAAAAAAAACCAATGAACTATGCACTGTACATAAGGAGAAATGAAACCCATTTTTTTTTCCATGATGATAATGTTTAAACCTTCTTCCCTCGATGAAACTCTTACGGTAATACACAAGCTCTCTTATAAACACATTTCTCATATTTTATGCAACTGGTTCTTAAGTTACAATATTTACAATGCACAAATACAGATTCCATCATTACATTCACGGGTAAACTCAGTTACCCAAGAAATGGTGCAAACCAATGGAAGAGACGGGAGCAGAGACAGGAGCAGGAAGCCAGATCTGGGCATCGAGGCCCCTTAGCGGGGGGAACGGGCTGGAGCCCTGACTGGTGCCTCGGGGGAGGGGGAGGAGGGTGGAGGGGTGGCACCCTTCTGCCCGGCCTGCCCTCCCCGGCCCCTGGGATTCTCCGGCTGAGAGGCTTGTCTGTAGCCAGCAAAGGCCCCTCCGTCAGGCACGTGTGGTCCCGCAGTGTCTAGAGCGCCCCTGACCGGGCTGTCTGCATCCCGGCGGGGGCTGGGCACGGCGGGCATGGCGGCACTCTGCAGGCACGGCAGGGACCACGGGCCACTCTGGCACTCTGGATTCAGAGACCCTCCGGTCAGCACTGGCCCCCAGCCCTGGAGACTGCAGATGCCACCAGGGAACAGGGTCCCCAGAACCCCACCTCCCCCGACCCTAGCTCCGGGGTCAGTGCGTTTGCTGAGGCGGCTCCTGCCCACTCCGGCTCCCCATGGAAGGCTGAGTTTCCGCCCCCCACAGCCACTGTGGAAGGAGGGGGAGCGAGGCTGGAGGGGAGGCCGAGGAGCAGGAGTGATGACAAAGTGCTCCCAACACTGCCGTTACCCAGTCAGCAAGGTCACTGCCCGCCCCTGCCGTCAGCCTGGCTCCGCCGCACTCCGCTGGGGCTGGGGCCATCTCCGATGGCGTTTCTATTTTGAATCAAGGGCACCGAGTCTTTTAAGACAGGCCTGACATCCTGAAGCTCTGTCCTGAACCCTGGAAACACCCACCTCTCCATCTCAGCTTCTCCTTCTGGTGACTGGCCTGTCTCCGCCCAGCCCAGCTTCGCGATGCACACGGGACAATTTCTGCACTGGCTCCGTCACTGGAGGAGGAAAATAGCTGCCTGAAAATTCAGGGCTCAGCGTGCAGACCTCTAGTTAGACTGAATACTCTGTCCGCTCCAGAGCCGGGTGAAATCCTGAGACGTGTAGGGACATTTGCATGCACATGGCCCAGGCACACGTGTGTGTGTGTACACACACGCACACGGGTGTGTCTGGCTGCCGTGACCATCGCCAGTGCTTCTCAGGGAGGAGCAAGCAAAGCAGAGGAGGCTCGCAGAGGCCGCTGCCGTGTCCCACGTGTGTGTCGGGGGGGTGGCCCTGCTCCCTGCTGGGCGCTCTGACAGACCGCCTGGTTAGGATCCGAGTTCATGGTCGCCTCCTGCAAGCCTCCGATCACTGGGAGAGGTCAAGGGCCAGGACCATGATGAGCCCAAGGACGGCCGCGCAGCAGGTCTGCCGGGACGCACAGAGGCCACAGACCGCACTCTAAGCATCTGGGAGCTCAACATCAGTCTAACAAATTACACTGTACTATGTGTGGTCATGCATGGATGTGAGAGTTGGACCATAAAGAAAACTGAGCACCAAAGAATTGATGCTATTGAACTGTGGTGCTGGAGAAGACTCTTGAGAGTCCCTTGGACTGCAAGGAGATCCAGCCAGTCCATCCTAAAGGAGATCAGTCCTGGGTGTTCACTGGAAGGACTGATGCTGAAGCTGAAACTCCAATACTTTGGCCCCCTGATGTGAAGAACTGACTCATTTGAAAAAACCCTGATTCCGGGAAAGATTGAAGACAGGAGGAGAAGGGGATGACAGAGGATGAGATGGTTGGATGGCATCACAGACTCTATGGACATGAGTTCGAGTAAACTCTGGGAGTTAGTGATGGACAGGAAGGCCTGGCGTGCTGCAGTCCAGGGGGGTCTCAAAGAGTCGGACACGACTGAGCGACAGAACTGACTTGATGTCCATCTTCCTGCCTTGGCAATATACTTCACGTGGCAGCAGGAACACGTCCATGTGAACCTGTGGTCTGTGTATTTCTGGAAGGTGGCACCACAGTGAGGAGGCTGAACCGGTCAGCGTGTGCGCTGGCAGTGTGGTCCATGACCAGCACCAGGGTGGAGGGGGAATTCCACAAGGGTGCCCAGAAGGCAGAGCCCACGCCTCCACGCAGGATCCGGGGAAAGGAAGCCGGAGCCAAGCTCAGCCGCGACTCCTCCTCCGTCTGCACTGTTGTCATGAGCAGAGGTAAGATGCCTCCAGCTACGGACAGATGAGGCCGAGGTCAGGGCCAGGTCCCCACAAAGAAGGTGCTGATGGCCCAGGAGACAGTGGCCTCACGTCAGCCCCGAGGCGGCTGGCCGTCTCCTGCTGTGTCTCGGCATCCCCTTGAGCATGACTCAGCACTCACCTCTGGGCGCATCCTCCTGGGGCCAACCATCCACCTCCATCAGCGTCCTCACTGTGGGGTGCCCTGAGCTTCTGTGGCAGGGCCCCCGAATCAGTGGCAGGGTCAACTGAATCAATGGCAGGGCTCCTGAATCAGTGGCAGGGCCCCTGAGTGAGCAGCAGGGCCCCCCTGAATCAGCTGCAGGGTACCCCAAATCAACGGGAAGGGCCCTCCCCATGGGCACCGGGGAGATGCTGCGGGCTCCTTGGACTCTGCTGGCCGGGATGGGAAGACTCCGTGGCCAGACAAGAGCATGTCCAGCTCCACTCCACAGGACGCGGCATCCCCAGAGCCCCCTTGCCGGCAGGAAAGGGGCGACCACCCCTTGGAGCACCAGCTCCTTCCAGGGAGGCCGCGCTTTCTCCACAGGGGGCCTGGGTGGGTTCCACAGGGCGGCCTGCAGCATTTACCCAGACACTGCTTCTCCCAAGCGTCCTGGCCCTGCAGCTTGGGGCTAGGGGCCGGGGACCAGCTCCAGGCGGGCGGCCCAGAGCAGACCAGCCCGTGGGAGGACACTGCTCCCTGCAGGGACCCTGCGGCCTTGGTTGGACCCTGCCCCTTCTGCATACCCCCCACACGCATGGAGGACTCGCCCGACGGGAGTGGGCACTGGTGTGTGAGACAGAGCGGAGCCGCCCCCCAGGGTCAGCCCCGGGGGAAGCAGATCTCTGATCCTCACATCGCGCACCCCCCAGAGTGGAGCCTCCTCGGGGCCCAGCCCCGGCCCCTCCTCCCGTAGGCCTCCCGCTGGCCCTCACGTCCCCACCTCAGCGCTGTCCCCGTGCCCCCGAACCCCTTTCCCAGCACCCTTTCCAGCCCCTCCAGGTGCTCCCCAACCCCCCCACCCCCACCTTGTCTTCAGCCCAGCAAATCCAGGTGAAGCACGCGATTCCTCTTCATGCTTAACACCCAGCCAAAGATTTCCACCACTGCATCTACGGAAACCCAACCTCTGAGCAAGGCCCTGGAAGAGCTGTGGGAACAGCAAGACAAGGCACCCTGAGACCAAGCCCTGGTCCCTGGACACCCGTCTCAGGCAGTGGACGTCTGCTCGCTGTCCTGGGTCCCCACGACCCAGAGTCCGGCCCCTGCTCACTCCAAATCTGCTCTACCCTGCCCCCGGCCCAACCACTGACCCCAACTCCAGACCAACCAGCTGGGCAGGGGGCCAGAGGCACCTGCGGAGGTCAAGTGGGTCAAGTGACCACGGGCAGCCCTGCCTGCACGCACAGCCTTCTGCAGTGATACAACTCTCCAGCCCCGGGACATGGGACATGGGGCCTGCGTCCTGGTGACAGGGAGCCAGGCAAGCGAGCTGCCCTTCTGGCCCGGCCAGCGCCACCCAGCCCCCCGGGCGCCTCTTGGCAGGGCTGGCCGACTCCACCCATCAGATTTCCGCTGTTGAGCAGGATCTGAGCCTGACGCACCTCAGGGCCTGCTCCTCGCAGGGCAGACACACACTCACGGCTCCATCCACGTCTCCAGCAAGTTTGCAGACAAGGAGGAGGAGCCCAGGAGTGGGCCCAGCCCACCCATGAGTCCCAGCTCAGCCACATGAATAAGCCAGGTACCCTCTCTGAGCCTCACCATCCTCATCTGTAAAATGGGGATGACGTTTGCAGCCTTCACAGGGAAGTTCAAGGAAGGCACGTGAGGCCTTACTGGGCGTGTGCTGAGCGCTCCACATGTGATTCAGAGAAATAAACAGAAACCTGTTCCACCCGCCCACAGCGGCCACGCCCTGAGCAAGCAGGGGCTGCATGCGTGGGCCCTGAGCCGGTGGAGCTGGATGTGCAGGGCAGCCGTAATTGGCAAGGTCAGTGTGGTCAGCGGAGCAACATCCCTGAGGATGTTCTCGCCCTGATTCCTGGAGCCTGTGAATACCCGCCTTAGCTGGCGAAGGGAAAGGACAGATGCTCGTGGACGTAGGTGGCTGATTAGCGGGTCTCGAGTGGGGAGACTGTCCCGGATCATCCAGGACACGGGTCCTTCAATGGGGAGGAGGCGGAAGAAGGAGAACCAGAGAGAGGGCAGTGTGAGGACTCGACCCACCACTGCGGGGAGGGCTGGCGAGCCACCCAGCGCAGCAGCTTCTCTGAGCTAAAAATCAAGGAGCCGGTCTCTCCTGCGGTGCCTCCAGAAGGAAGCCTGCTGAAGCCAGCGTCAGTGCGTCCGCCGTGGACTCCGACCCCAGAGCAGTGAGTGATGGCGGTGCACGGCTCAAAGCCACAGCCTGTGTCCTGGTGACCTGCTAAGCTGCCCTGGGGAGCCCGCGCCATGAGAGCCGGTTCAGGTCCTCCCCACCTCACCCTTCCCATCCCTGCTAAGGAGCCTGCAGGCAGCATCCCCGGGCTCGGTGTCTGAATTCCAAACAAGCACGTGCTGGGGTGTGGTCTCAGCCCAGATGTTAGCTACACGTTTCCCGAGCCTGAAAGGACACACAAGTCTGTAGGATTGCTGGCTTCCTTCTAAATTATAGCTGCTTTATATAAACGCACTTTTATTCCCAGAAATCCTCCAAGAGGATGCATTTCTAGGCAGAGTAACATTCATTTGTCCAGAATCTGGGACGACTAAGGGATATGTTTCTTTCTTGCTCTGTGGTTTTTCTGTACCAAGGACCACAGTCTCGCTGGACTCTGCTTGCAGGCACACAGATGTGGGCTGTTTCCTTGTGACAAGTAACACTCACCTGAACAGCGACAGGCCCGAGGAGCTGTGGACAAGACCTTGCACTGCAGGTGGACTCCAAGTGACCTTGAGAGGCAGCGGGACTGTTCAGCCAACGAATCAAGATGCCACGTGCTCCCCTGGTTTGAGACTTCCCCAGTGGCTCAGATGGTAAAGAATCCGCCTGCAATGCAGGAGGCACAAGAGACCTGGGTTCCATCCCCAGGTAGGGAAGATCCCCTGGAGAAGGGAATGGCTACCCACTCCAGTATTCTTGCCTAAAAAATGCCATGGACAGAGGAGCCTGGCGGGCTACAGTCCATGGGGTCACAAAGAGTTGGACACAACTGAGGGACTCACAGGTTCCCTTGTTTGAGGTGACTGTGGTTTGTCTGTTGGTGAAATGTAATCTCTACCCATTTCCTCCAGCAAGTCTTTTAGTTTGAAGGAGGAAGTTGCAGAGATAGTACTCTTCACCCAGTTTCTGCAGTGGTTCCATCTTGCGCAAATGCAAGACAATATCAAACCCAGGAGTCTGGCCTGGGCCCCGAGGGTGAGGCTCTAAGGCATCACATCACGTGTGTGGACTCATGTTGCCTCCACCACCGCCAAGATTGGGAACACCACAGCAACACGCGGATCCCCCCCACGCTCCCCTCCGATCACGCCCACATCCTTCCCCATCTTCCCCTCCTTGACGTTCTGTCATCAGGAGACTGTTACAGACATGGAATCATGCAGCACATGACCTTGCAGGGTTGCTTCCTTGGGATGAACTTGCCCTTGAGACCCGCCCAAGTCAGTGATTCATTCACCTTTATGGCCAAGCAGTTTATGCTGTAGTTATTTTCTTATCGAGGGGCATTTGACTGTTTTGACTGTTTCCAGTTTTCTGCTTATCACAAATCAAACCACTGTAAACTATTGAGTACAGGATTTTGTGTGGTCATAATTTTTATCTTCCTGGGAGAAAAGGCTCAGCCATATGTAAGTATGGCATATGTCAGCTTTTAAAGAAGCTGCCAAAGTAATTTCTAAGACTTGAGTGACCCAGTCCCTACATCCTCACCAGCGTTTGGCCTCATAATTTTGTCTTCAAGGCCAGCCCGTTCCTGGTCTTTTAGCTCACGAGCAGACTCTGGTGGGTTTTTTTTTTTTTGGTCTGTGCTTATTGGCGTTTTGGGGTTTCTGGTTTCTCCCGGGCTCAGCCTGGGGCACAAGGCTGAAGGAAAACCCAGGAAACTCATCATGAGTTACTCCTTGGGTCTCGAGGGTCTCTCACTGGCCTGTCTTCTTCTCCCTGTCTTCAGGGTCTCCTGTGTGTGTTCAGTGTGTGGTGAGCAGGGATTTTCACCGCACTTGCTGAACGGAATCCTGAGAAGTAGCATACCCAGTCTTTCCAGAGTCGTCAGTTCCCATTTCCATTCGGAACAGAGAAAAACGCCTTCCTAGACCAGCCATGTGTGCAGTGGGCAGCCTGCTGCTGCTTCTGGCTGGGTTAGAAGAGACGGTTTAAGGTCAGTCTGTTCATCTGAACACTGGTTAGTGATGCAGCCTGATCTGCCATCTGTATCACCCAGCACACAAATGTTTAGGGTCAGTCAGCAAGATTATCATCGCTATTATATTTAGAGAGAGTTTCTTGATGACCAGTAGATACTGGAGATGGTGAGTAGGCAAGGTTAGTGAGTATTAACAAGTTACACTTAGCAGATTCCACATTTATGCTCCACACCGTCCACCTCGTCTCCCGTAGTACAGCCTCTTTCCTTAAAAGTTTTTTTCAATTGAAATATAGCTGATTTACAGTGCTGTGTCCCTGGAGAAGGAAATGGCAACCCACTCCAGTGTTCTTGCCAGGAAAACCCCAGGGACAGAGGAGCCTGGTGGAATACAGTCCATGGGACTGCAAGGGGCCGGACATGACTGAACTCAATGTTGTGTTAGTTTCAGGCGTATAACAAAGTGACTCAGATGTATGCATATGTGTATATGTGCGCACATATGTTAAATCTCAAACTCCTGATTTATCCCTTCCCCCCTGCCCTTTGGTAATCATAAATTTGTTTTCTATGTCTGGAAGTCTATTTCTGTTTTTTAAATAAGCTCACTGTATCATTTTTTTTAGGTTCCAAGGCCTCCTAATGTCTGAATCCTCATCAAATTCATTGGTGGAGGCATTCAGTCATTTAATCACGTTTTGCAAAATGGAAGTCTTTCTCATGGACTAATTTTAGATTTTCTAAGACCGGTCAGGAAGTGCCTGTCATTCCCCACTGTTCCCTTTGTGACAACATTCTACACTTAGAGGTTCACTCTTTAACTAAGAAATCCACATAGGTTCAACACAGCTAACAAAACTGAAGGCTGTCTTTGGACTCACCAGCTTTGGATCCGCTAACACCCTTTGTCTGTCCCAGGACTCCACCAGCACCCCCCACCGCCCCCAAGAGCTTTGTCGTCATGTGAGCTCAGGCTCCTCCCATCTGCCACCTGCTCCCAGTCACGCCTCATCTTTCACTCCAGCATTTGGCAGACACCCTCCTGACGTTTGCCCCTCACCTGGGGCTTGTCTGGTATTGTGTCTGATGCTGATGCTGGCGCACTGCTTTGGGGGAAAGGTCCCGGGAGGTGAGGAGCCCTCTTGACGTGGCATAGCAGGGAGTGCGTGACTCACACAGCCGGCTCATCCAGGAAACACAGACCCTGATGGCAAGGGCAAGCTGGCGTCTGCTGGGGTCTCCACTGGAAGTTGCCATTTCCCCTACTCAGGTTCTGTCCTTTGGGAAGGGAGTCATCGAGTCCGGCCCACACCCACGGGGAAGGGAGTTCAGCCCCACCTCTTGGGGGAGGGAGCGTCTCAGTCTTGTGCTTGAGGTTCTTCTGTATGGAAGCATTGTCCCCGTCTCCTTTTCCCCTGTTTATTTATTCATTTCACTTACTTCTATCAAAAGGATGTCAGTGAGGACAAGCTCATGTGTGTCCACTTTATACTGTGTGTTATCATCCCATAGCCAGTTCCCGCAGGCCCCAGTGTCCACACAGCGCTGCGTGAGGTTGGTTCTATCAGCGCCCGGCCCGGTGAAGGCCCGGCTCCCTGTCTGGCCTCCTCTGACACCGTCCTTCTCCTCCTCACTTTCAGGGAAAAGAGCCGGCACTCCTTTGGAGGACCTCTCAAACTTTCTGCCGCTGAGACACAGGCCTGCGCAGTGGTGGGTCCCTCCGCATGTTCCCAGATGGACTCAGACCTGCTTCTGGGCACCCCCCCCGCCCCGGCCTGGCCCTGCCTTCCTCCCGGCCCGCAGTGTGTCCAGGGAGCTGCGGCTGGGGACACACGACTGCCCCGGGCTCCTCCTCTCCAAGTCTGGAATGGGGAGTGTCTGCCCAAGGTTGTCCCGGTTTGGAGACTGAACAACGTGCTTTATAAACAATGAACACTTGAACTCTGCGGGCAGGAGGCAGCCTTTTCACAGAGAGTGAGAGTGTTTGTTAGTCTCTCCGTCGTGTCTGACTGTTTGCAACCCCACGGACTGTAGCCCGCCAGGCTCCTCTGTCCCTGGGATTCTCCAGGCAAGAATGCTGGAGCGGGCTGCAGTCCCTTTTCCAGAGGGTCTTCAGACCCAGGGTTGAACCTGGTTCTCCTGCATTGCAAGCAGGTTCTTTGTGTCTGGGCCACCGGGGAAGACCTTCACTAGGACGAATATTAAGATTTCCTCTAACTGTAGATCTAAGGCCTACGGCGCTGTTCACAGAAGGCATGGCTGGAAGGGGCTTGACCTTGGAGTGGGCCAGTGAGAAAGCCCTCTTAGCCCCTGGGCCAACAGCTTTGTTCCTTAAAAGGGCTCCAGACACTCACTGTCTAGGATCACAGTAGACGAACAAAGACCCGATTCCCTCTTAAATCAAAGAATTTTGTGTTGGTGTGCAGGTTTCAAGTGTGTACAAACACTGCTTTTCAAATCTGAGGGCGACAGGTCCCATATGTTGAAACATCTTAAAGTTCAAACACATCAGATGCTATTGGCTGCTGCTAAGTCACTTAGGTCGTGTCTGACTGTGCAACCCCATAGACAGCAGCCCACCAGGCTCCCCCGTCCCTGGGGTTCTCCAGGCAAGAACACTGGAGTGGGTTGCCATTTCCTTCTCCAATGCGTGAAAGTGAAAAGTGAAAGTGAAGTCGCTCAGTCGTGTCTGACTCTTAGCGACCCCATGGACTGCAGCCCACCAGGCTCCTCCGACCATGGGATTTTCCAGGCAAGAGTACTGAAGTGGGGTGCCATTGCCTTCTCCGCAGATGCTATTTATCTGCTATTTAATGTTTAACGAGGAGGAAATAGCCCTCCCCCACAAGCAAATCAAGGCCAGAACAACAGTCTTGCAAAGGTCAGATTGCATCACTTTGGTTGACTGGATCTGTCTTTAAAGTCACACTGTCAATACTTCAAGGGCAGCGGAAGGCTTGGGAGACAGGTGAAAACGGATGGTGCGTGGGGCTGGCTCACGGGGATGGGGGCTGCAAGCCTGCTGGGGTCCCAACCAACACCACTGCCACCTTTCTTTAGGCAGGTGATAGAGTGGCAATCACCACGGGGTGTCCCCAGTGAGGATGACTGCCTGAGAGCTATGGCTTCCAGACTCTCCCGCTCATGGCTCCTGTTTCCATCAGCCCCACAGAAAACCAGAAAGGTCCCTGTTTCCATCAGCTCGGCAGAAAACCGAAAATGTCCCCTCTGTGCCCTGTGGTGTGTGGGAAGGCGGATACACCTGAGGAGGTGTGTGGTCCAGGCTCCGGGGGGTTGGGGGACTCCTGGGGCTTGATCTGCTAAAAAGGAGCTCACCCTCCATGGCCACTGAGTTCCATCTCTTCCTTGATTCCGTGGGAGGCTGGGACCTCAAGGCCTCTTCAACTTGTATATATAAACTGGGAAAACGCATTCACAAAACCCTGCTCTTTTCCTGTTCAAATAGTCTTCTGTTCAAACCCTAAGAGAGTTTTCTAACATAAAGTAAGCAGTACAAGAGAATGAGAGGAAACAGAGAATCAAAGCTGCTCTTCCCCGGAGAAACGGAAAACAGGATGACGGGGCGTGTGTATCGGTGGAAACTAAAGTGGTCCAGGGGCCCTTTCACACACGCCCCATGCATGAGGTTCAGACGGCAGCCCCCACCGCGTGTGTCTCAGTAATCCACGGGTCTCACCAAGTCTCCCTGCCTCCCCAGACTTGAGCTGGTTGAGGCTGTCACGTTAATGAAGCACCGTGGGGGAAGTTTTGTAGATCAGAGTCAAAATGGGCCGGTTTCTGCAAGATGATGTGACAGGACATGATTGAGCATTATGCTTACCCTGTTTCATGAGACTCAGGCCTGCCTGTTTCAAGGCTTTCTCATTCTTTTAGGCACAATTCAATTAGGCCACTGCCATTGAGTTGCTCTCAGAGGTCACAGTAACATCTGAGCGACCTTGACTAGAAGGGACGGCCACTCAGCTGCCGCGGAGGGGTCACGGTCGTGGGGTCAGGACAGGCCATGGCACCGCCCTGCCTCTGGTCACTGGCAACAAGAAACAAATCCTGGAGAAGGAGAGGTTTTCTTCAGAAGGATTATTACACGCAGCGGGGATTACTCCAGAGGGAGAATCTCAGACCTTGAGATCTGTAGGAGTTTCTGAGGGCAGGAAGAAAGAGATTTTCCTTTATTGGGGGGATTGTTAATCAAGGCTAGAATGAACTGGGCATAGAGGCATGGTTTGATGGGACAGTTAATCAGGGGATGTTCTTGGGAACAAGCAGCTCACGTTCCCATATTCAAGGACTGGTAAAAGTTCAGAGGCTGGAGGAAAGACAGAATCCTGTTTTGGGGAGAAACAAAGCTTTCATCTACCTTCTTAGGTTCTGTACCTAGGATATGTGAATTAAATCAACTAAAAACAGATTGTCAGGAGGAAAAAGATTATGTACACAATGTGAGAATACTCAGTGATGAGTAACTCAATAGGGAGGCTAGAATTTGGGGTTCATGGACCTCATTTAATAGGTTAGAAGGATGGGGGAGAAAAAGCTTTAGGGGAAGAACAAAAAGATTTCTTTCGGAAAGAAAACTGGGCTTTCAGGAGAACGAATGAGAAATAAGAAGGTTTGCTCGTTTGTGCAAGTTTAAGTGGTCCTTTTTAAGGCCATGACTCTTTCCAGAGAGGGGTCTGGTCATAGGTTTACTCTTGACCATTCTCCTGGAAGCAGACTCACCCTAAGGTGGGAACTGATGGCAGCCTCATTTCCCAGAAGTTCCTGTTTTTCAGCAAAAAGAGAGAGAGAGAGAGAGAGAGAGAGAGAAGCTCTAAAAGGCTTCTTTGTGCATCTATTACCCTCAAATGTTTTCAGCTTACAATAAGTTTCTTATCAATCCTGGGGTTCCCAGTGGGTTCCCACAACTGACTAACCCTTGGCCAAGTAGGCATTTTGTCCAGATTGGTCAGTGAAGACAAACAGTCCAGAGAATCATTGATGAGGTAAAGAAGGGGAATTTGGGATCTGGTTCTGGGCTTGTAGCAGTGACCAGGGGGCTTCTGTGAGTCTCATCGCAGTTAAATGATGAAGGTGGGTCTTGGCAGTCAGCCTTGCCCAGAAATAAACAGGCAGGCTGGTTTGATCAGTCAGCATGGTCACTATCCCTTGGCCCTTTTAGCAATCATTTCTGATCCCCATATGTTCCCCTGACCCAACAGAGACCCTGTGCATTCCAAGAAGGGGCCAGGCTCTGGGGGTATTTCATCTCTGGGCTTGGCTTTTCAACCCTCCACAGGCAATGCCCCTTTTCCTGCCCATGAGTGGGGTGGGCACACCCACTACGTTCCAGGGAGCCAAGTCCAAGGCCCGGCATCACGGCACTGGGGAAAAACCCCAAATTGTCCTCCAAACTTTACCAGTTTATCTGATGAGAAATAATTTTAAGAAATTGGGAAAGAAATAAGGCAGGGCTTCTTCCTCCTGGGTGTGTTCATAGCTGACCTCAGGCTCCCCGCAGCCGGGCCAGTGTGGTAAGCTGCAGGACCATGTCTGGGATAACATGACTCACCCACACGTGCCCAAGTTCAGGACGGCGGGGTCCTGGCCAGATACGGACTCTGCAGCCGTGGACCAGGAGCAGGGGCCAGAGCAGCACAGGCAGCGGCTGCCCGCTGCCCCAGACAACCCCGCCACCAGCAATGTCCTTACACATGCACTCCCAGGGGCAACGTGCCCGGGTCACGTCAGACACGTGGCCCCACTCGTCAGAAAGCTTCCCAAAGGGTTCCCTGGAACATCCAGGCACCGTCCTCTGCAGAGAAGGCGAAAGAGTGCCAAGGGGGAGGGTACATTCTAGAACCTCTGGGCAGTGGCCACAGGGGCTCGAGGCTTCCTTCACTCCTACTGTGCCCCGGCAATTGACGGACAGGTACCCAGGCTCGACTGTCACCCCATCCTTGTCAACCTTACTGGTTTGAGTTGGGTCTGGACACGGGGTTTGTTGAAGCTTGATCGTGTGATTTAGATAGGAAGCTGCAACCTACAACCACTGCATTAGGGGCTTGTTACTAACAAGTGTGGCTTACTAAAATGCAGAATCCCAGGCTCCGCCCCAGACCTAAAGTGTGAAGAGACAGCCCCTGGCGCTTCACACACACAGTGAAATCCGAGAAGCATTGCCCTACAGCTGGTGTTGGCCGCTGTTATCTGTAAAGGGTCAGCTAACAAGGACTCCAGGCCTTGAGGGCTGTGCAGGTGACCTTGCCACCTCTCAGCTCTGCCCTTGCAGTGTCCCAGCCAACACAGACGGTGTGCAAGTGTCAATGATGAGAGCGCTGAGCTCCAGAAGAACTTCATTCACAAAGACAGGCATGAGTTTGGCCCAAGGACTGTGGTTTACTGGCCCTGAACAGAGGCACCGCCATCCTGATGACTTTTGCACACAGCAGGGATGTGACGAAGTGACTCTTGTCTGTCCCAGCACGTGTAGGTGGTAAGTCTCAGCAGACACCGTGGTCCCCTCCCAGAAGGGCCCCGAAGGAGGCTGGCCACAGGGGCAGGCAGAGGGGACTCGAATGCATCCAATCTTACCCGCGCCCGGGGTCAGGGGTGCCCTCACCTGCTTCTCTCAGGTAAGCACCACCCAGGCTCGTCTCCCAGGTTGTCCCGGCTGTTCTGTGCTGCCCAAGCCGTGCGCTGTGATCTCTCGGGTGGACTTGCAGAAAAGGGGAGGGGCCTGCGGACCCTAGAGGGATGGGGGATTTAGGGAACCAGTGCTTAGAGCGCTGGGCAGCCGGTGCCCAGAGGACAGGAGGAGAGGCGGTCAGGAAGAAACACAGGACCCGGGAAGGGAAGACAGCAGCGACAGCAGACTCAGCCCAGGAGTCTGGGGGCCGCGCATCCACGGTCAGAGCCACGCTCCTCAGCGCTGGCGTGGGGGCTGCCGCCCCTCCCCACACAGCCAGGCTGCCAGCCCCGTCAGGGGATGGGGCGCCAGAGAAGGCGGGGAAGGATACAGAGACAGACTGTCAAGGGACGGTTGTTGGGAGTGTTTACAGTGGGGTTTGCAAGGTGACCTTGTTATCCACATGGTTCCAGCACATTCCTGGTGCATGTCGGACACCCACGGTACCACATTATACATGCACATGGGCTTCCCCTCCAGAGGCTTCCAGGTCCTCCGATGGGGGCCTTTTAACCAATTCAGTGATCTTTGCTTTAACTTCCCAAATAACTGCCAACAGCTTCTTAGGAGAAAGTACTGCAGGCGCTGAGTTGGAGCCGTCTGCCTTGGGATCCGGGCACAGCAACTTCATTTTTAACTGCGGAAGAGTTCCATCACTTGGAGAGTCATCACGGCAACAGTAAACGCTGGTTTATTATCCTGTCAGGTCGCATATGGATCAGGGACTGCGGATCCCAGGCAGCCCTCCTACACTGGGCCCGGTTGTGGGGGGGTGGTTCATCCCTTTATGATCTGCCAACATTTGGGCTTTGATTGTACTTTTAGACTAGATATCAGGGGAAGAAACATAGAAACAGGCTGGATTATGGGAAAGAAATGCAAAGCACTTTGTATCTCCACCAAGATGAAGGCTGACACCAGGGACTCTCACGCTCTCATCCCAGCCTTACCAGGCAGGAGGTGGAGCAGTTCACCGATCTGGGCGGTTCAGGGACCCGTGAAGGCCTGGCCTTTCACCTCCTGCTCTGTCTTACTCCCCCTGTCCCCTGGACCTGAGTTTTGGGAGCTTTTCTGCAGGAGGAGCCAGGAGAGGGTGAGTGACCTCTTCCAAAGTAACAGGAAGGTAGCACTGGAGGAAAACCAGGAAGATGGGAAAAGTAAAGTAGAGTAAAGCGGTGTGGCTAGAACTGGCACCAAGGCCCCAGGGCCAGGCCCCCGGACCCAGGACAGGCAGAGCAGTGCTGTCTTCAGGGCAGGACATGGACTTGGCCCTGAGCCCCAGTGAGTCCCGCCTCCATACTGGCCGTCATCACAGGGGAGCGGGATCCTCCATCCCCGACTTTGCCGTGGGGATGGACAGTGTCCAACTAAGATGGGAGGTGGAGCCCAGTCCTCCTTGGACACCCGTGAGTTGGGGAATTCTTTCTATAAAGTTCTGCATGGGACCACGATTTCAAATAGACAGCGTGACATTACCCCGGAAGTTGGGGCTCAGCCCTCAATGACTGGGGTGGACTGGGGTAAGGCTAGACCAGCCAGAGGCCATTATTTACCTCCAAATGCAACTAGGCATGGTGACTCTGAGAACTTCTCAGAAACTATTAGAGAAACTAGCTTTTTCAATAATGGACATACTATTATGTGTTCTTCTAGAATTCTGCGCAGATAAGAATACCCACAAGGCCCCATTCCTCTCTCAGTTCCAAATCAAGAGACACCAGGCTGCCTCTACACCACCTTCGACGGCCAGCTCTGGGGTCTCAGAAAGCGGAGCTCAGGAGAGCTTTCACATGTGTGTGGTCAGGACTCAGCTGCAGCTGGGGAAGCCGGTGTCCGGCGTCTACGGAGCCATGCCCCATGCTCCATCCAGCCTCCTTCGCGGGCGGCCACAGTGCGTCCACCCCCCTGCGTCCAGGGGATGACCCGGCCCTGGGGGAGGAGCTGTCTCTGGGGCAGCCTGAACCCTGGGTCTCCCCCGACTCTCCCAGAGCGCCGCACCTCTCAGAGCTGACGCTCACCCCGCTGGCTCTGCTCCATCATCGGCCATGAAATGACTGGTGGTGAAACATTTGCCATCTGGCTTTTACCTGGGCCACATTATAGCTTCACATTCATTAGGCAGAAGAGGAAAGCTGCTGTGTATTTTAGCACCCAAATGCAAGACTTGGGAGGGATTGGACTTGAGGAAGGAAATGGCCTGGCCCAGCATCTGCCGGACCTGAAAGAAGTCTGGGAGGAGTGCTGCCCCAGGTCCCACGACCTGCCTGGGGACACTGGCTTCCCTCCCTTGACCCTCTTACAGCTCCTCCCTCCACTGGTCCACCTCGTGGTATCTCGCTAAGTATGAGATGCAGGTATTTGCAGATGAATTAGTAAAATGAGATAATGCGATTTAGACAAAAATGCTTGGCATACTGAACATTCTGCTGCTTCTTGTCTGTCTGCAGGTTCTAGTAACTTCCAGGAGGAGCAACTCGGCACTGTTGTAAATTATCTGCACTTAAATCTACCACCACTATGGCCTCAATGGGGATTTGGGGCGTCTCCCTCCCAGGTGGCCCTGGGGTCCTCGGGGGTTGACCCTGCAGGGCGGCGTCTCTGAATGGGGCTCCAGCAGGGGGAGGAAAGCAGAGACCAGCAAGGTCCTTGCCGGCACCCAGGAGGGCTGGCAGCCCCCAACCCAGCAGAAGCAGAGCCTGTAGGTCCAGGGCACAGCTCGCCTCCTCCCTGAGTGCAGTGTGGCAGGGGTCCTGCCCACAGGCGCCCAGGGAGCCCCACTAGAGAGCCTGGACTCAGGAGTACGCTCTCCAGGGGGGATTCTTTTATGCAGGCCTTGTAGGCGTTAGTGAAACGTCAGCCCACCTGCTGCTGTCAGAGTCTCAGGTGAGGGCTGCCGACTTCACGGCCACCCCCCAGCCCCCGTCTGACTCATCAGCCTGCCGCCCCCTCGTCCAGCCTTCAGTCACCTCCTCCCTGCTCCTGCCTTCTGCTCTCAGCTCCCAGGTCCTGGTCTCTCTCGGACCTGCTCCAGTACTGCAGCCCCTCACTCTTGTGCCCGGACCTGGCCCTGTTCTGGGGCATCTTCCCTTCCCCACCCAGACCCCTCCCCAGGTGGCTTCACAGGGGCGGTGCCTCGGCTCTGCAGACCGTCTCTGTGCTAACAGCTCTGGCCCTCTCAAACTACGCCCACGAGTCCAGGGCCCCTCCACACTTCCACCGGCGTGCCCGATAGACAGCTTAAGGTAAACATGCCCAGATATTTTAAAATAATTATTCATTTGTTTAAACAATGCAGCACAGCTTATGGGATTTAATTCCCCAACCTGGAATTGAAACTAAGCCCTTGGCAGTGGACATGCAGAGTCCTAAGCACTAGACCACGAGGTAATCCCCCAGAGGAATATCTGATTTGTCCTCATCCCTCTCCTGCAAAATCCCCCAATTCGACATAGGAGAGCCATCGTTCCGTTCACTTAGGCCAAAAGGCTCAGAGTCCTGCTCAAGGCTTCTCTCTTCTGTATATCATGGCATCCAATCTATTAGTAAATTGTGATGACTCTGTGTTAAAAGCATATCCAACCACTTAATACCATCTGTTCCATGATGACCTAGTGGAAACCACTTTGATTTCTCACCGGGACAGTCACACAAACCTTCACCGAGAAACGGGCTTTTCTTTGGTTTTATTTTGGTTTGTTGCTGTTTGCGGCTATGACACCAGGTGCTGGAACAATGTATGGGAATAAGTAGGTGCTCAATAAGTATTTATGAAATAAACTTGCAGACTTCTAACTGGCTCCATCCCTCTCTAACCTGCTCTTCCCGGAACCATCAGGGAGACTGCTTTTGAAGTCGCATTGGGTCCTCTTCTGGCCCCTCCCCACTGCACACAGGCTGCCGCAGACGTCCCGCACGTGGCCATGTGCCTGGCCTGCCCGGCTGCCTCGACTCCCTGCCTCAGCCTCTCCGGCTCTCCTGTTTGTTCACACCGCCCCCGGCGCACTGACCTCCCGGCTCTTCCTCCTGCACGCCTGCCTCAGGGCCTTTGCACAGCGCTTGCTCCCGCCGGGTGCCTCTCCCGTGACACCCACAGGGCCCAGCCGCTGCTTCAGTCCGCAGCCTGCTCCTGTGCCACTTCATCGGAATCACCCTCCTCGACCACCTTGCTGGCTGCCCGCGTTTGCCCCTCTGTGTCCCTTCTTCACCTTCTCAAGCCCAGAAGGCCCAGACCCTGTCCTCCAGGCTCCCAAGCCTTCTGCTTCCAGCTGGGTTCAGCAGTGGGAAGTGCCCAGGTGAGTGTTGGAGGAGAGGAGAGCGATCGCTGGCCTTCGGATCCGGGCCTTGCTCCTCTCTCGGCTCTGCAGTGACTGTGTGGCTGCGGCTCCCTCAGGCAGACCTTCGTCCATGGCTACAGCCCTCAGCAGGCTCTGGAGGGACGACTCTTTCTCTCGCCTCCTTGGCCTTAAAGATGCAAATGCATTGTGTATCCTTGCCTCCTTTGTCGAAGATAAGGTGTCCATAGGTTCGTGGATTTATCTCTGGACTTTCTATTCTGTTTCATTGATCTATATTTCTGTCTTTGTGCCAGTACCATACTGTCTTGATGACTGTGGCTTTGTAGTATAGTCTGAAGTCAGGCAGGTTGATTCCTCCAGTTCCATTCTTCTTTCTCAAGATTACTTTGGCTATTCGAGGTTTTTTGTATTTCCATACAAATTGTGAAATTATTTGTTCTAGTTCTGTGAAAAATATTGTTGGTAGTTTGATAGGGATTGCATTGAATCTGTAGATTGCTTTGGGTAGTATAGCCATTTTGACAATATTGATTCTTCCAATCCATGAACACAGTATATTTCTCCATCTGTTTGTGTCCTCTTTGATTTCTTTCATCAGTGTTTTATAGTTTTCTATGTATAGGTCTTTTGTTTCTTTAGGTAGATATACTCCTAAGTATTTTATTCTCTTTGTTGCAATGGTGAATGGTATTGTTTCCTTAATTTCTCTTTCTGTTTTCTCATTGTTAGTGTATAGGAATACAAGGGATTTCTGTGTGTTAATTTTATATCCTGCAACTTTACTATATTTATTGATTAGCTCTAGTAATTTTCTGGTAGAGTCTTTAGGGTTTCCTATGTAGAGGATCTTGTCATCTGCAAACAGTCAGAGTTTCACTTCTTCTTTTCCTATCTGGATTCCTTTTACTTCTTTTTCTGCTCTGATTGCTGTGGCCAAAACTTCCAAAACTATGTTGAATAGTAGTGGTGAGAGTGGGCACCCTTGTCTTGTTCCTGATTTCAGGGGAAATGCTTTCAATTTTTCACCATTGAGGGTAATGCTTGCTGTGGATTTGTCATATATAGCTTTTATTATGTTGAGGTATGTTCCTTCTAGTCCTGCTTTCTGGAGAGTTTTAATCATAAATGGATGTTAAATTTTGTCAAAGGCCTTTTCTGCATCTATTGAGATAATCATATGGTTTTTATCTTTCAACTTGTTAATGTGGTGTATTACATTGATTGATTTGTGGATATTAAAGAATCCTTGCATTTCTAGGATAAATCCTACTTTATCGAGAATATACAATGGAAAAAAGACAAACTCTTTAACAAGTGGTGCTGGGAAAACTGGTCAACCACTTGTAAAAGAATGAAACTAGAACACTTTCTAACACCATACACAAAAATAAACTCAAAATGGATTAAAGATCTAAATGTAATACCAGAAACTATAAAACTCCTAGAGGAGAACATAGGCAAAACACTCTCCAACATAAATCACAGCAGGATCCTCTATGACCCACCTCCCAGAATATTGGAAATAAAAGCAAAAATAAACAAATGGGACCTAATTAAACTTAAAAGCTTTTGCACAACAAAGGAAACTATAAGCAAGGTGAAAAGACAGCCCTCAGATTGGGGGGAGATAATAGCAAACGAAGCAACAGACAAAGGATTAATCTCAAAAATATACAAGCAACTCCTGCAGCTCAATTCCAGAAAAATAAATGACCCAATCAAAAAATGGGCCAAAGAACTAAACAGACATTTCTCCGAAGAAGACATACAGATGGCTAACAAACACATGAAAAGATGCTCAACATCACTCATTATCAGAGAAATGCAAATCAAAACCACAATGAGGTACCATTACACACCAGTCAGGATGGCTGCTATCCAAAAGTCTACAAGCAATAAATGCTGGAGAGGGTGTGGAGAAAAGGGAACCCTCTTACACTATTGGTGGGAATGCAAACTAGTACAGCCGCTATGGAGAACAGTGTGGAGATTCCTTAAAAAGCTGGAAATAGAACTGCCATATGACCCAGCAATCCCACTTCTGGGCATACACACTGAGGAAACCAGATCTGAAAGAGACATGGGCACCCCAGTGTTCATCGCAGCACTGTTTATAATAGCCAGGACATGGAAGCAACCTAGATGCCCATCAGCAGACGAATGAATAAGGAAGCTGTGGTACATATACACCATGGAATATTACTCAGCCATTAAAAAGAATTCATTTGAATCAGTTCTAATGAGGTGGATGAAACTGGAGCCTATTATACAGAGTGAAGTAAGCCAGAAAGATAAAGACCAATACAGTATACTAACACATATATATGGAATTTAAAAAAATGGTAATGATAACCCTATATGCAAAACAGAAAAAGAGACACAGATGTACAGAACAGACTTTTGGACTCTGTGGGAGAAGGTGAAGGTGGGATGTTTCAAGAGAACAGCATCAAAACATGTGTATTATCAAGGATGAAACAGATCACCAGCCCAGGTTGGATGCATGAGACAAGTGCTCGGGTCTGGTGCACTGGGAAGACCCAGAGGGATGGGGTGGGGAGGGAGGTGGCACGGGGGATCGGGATGGGGAACACATGTAAATCCATAGCTAATTCATGTCAATGTATGACAAAAACCACTACAATATTGTAAAGTAATTAGCCTCCAACTAATAAAAATAAATGGAAAAAAATAAAATAAAATAGGTGACAGAAAAAAAATAAGATGCAAATGCTTGATGCTGTTCCCACTGGATGCCTCCACCATCATTTCTGAGTTTCCTTAATGCTTCATGTGGCTCTGTGAGCAGTTCCACTGGGTCTCTTGACTTAACCCCCCTGAGGCTGCACTCTCTGACCTGCTGGGGCCCTGACTGATACCGCATCTACTTAAAGTAGCACTTCCTCTATACCTGCCTAACCCGCTTTATGGTCCCTTTAAACAGTTTGCAGTGCCTGTTGTATATTTATTACTTCATCTGTGTATTTAGTCTGTCTCTTTCAATGAAAAGGTAAGCCACATGAGAGCAGAGACTTGGGCTGTTAGTTCACCCATGTTTTCAGCACAGGAGTAGAGATTTAATATCATAAATATGCAGGACATATTTCCTTGGACAGTGAGTGTATGAACAAATAAATATATCCAGTTTCTATGGGTGTTTGCAATCATAAAGGGCAGATTTTAGGCATAGCTATTTCTCAGGTTACAATTTGCTGGATATGGATGTTTTATTAATACAATGTACTCATCCATTCATCCGTCCTACAAATGATGCTCCCAGAACATTGATGTCCCTGGATCCCTTAGAGTAGTATACTAACTTCAAGGGGTACTGGAATGGGCCATGAGAAAAGCCAAAGCCTGTGGCAACTGTCCATGGTCCTGAAACACATTTCCCCCATCGGATCAGGATGGGTCTTTTATTTATTTTGGAGAAGGAAATGGCAACCCACTCCAGTACGCTTGCCTGGAAAATCCCATGGACAGAGGAGCCTGGTAGGCTACAGTCTATGGGGTCACAAAGAGTTGGACACAACTGAGCAAAAGATTCTAATACCCTTCATCCTTGCTGCCAAAGTCCATCATCTTTATTTATTATTTATCTTAATTTTTTTGGCTGCACCATGTGGCATAAAGGATTTTAGTTCCCTGACCAGGGATCAAACCCATGCCCATGGGATTGGAAGCACAGAGTCGTAACCACTGGACTTCCAGTGAAGTCCGAGGGATGTGTCTTTTAGAAGCTGATCCCTATGCTTCCTAATGCTGTTTACACTAAGTATTATGATTCTGCTCCACTTTCTACCTGCTAGGTTTTGAACTTAAGTTTATCCAACTCAAAAGCTGTCCCCATTAGGCACTGCTGCCTCCATAGGTAAACTCAGACTCTCAGCTCCTTGAGACCTTAATCCTGGATTTTGAAGGGGTGCCTATCCACAGCTCTCCCCTCCTATTTTCTCCCATCCTGACTGTTCAGTGCACCCAAGTACAGACACTGAGTGGCCAGGCTGCTTCCCTGATAAACCAGCCTCCAAAGAGTGTCTCCCTCTCCTTCTAAAAACCCTCCTTCTGCAAAGCTCACTGGAACTCGAAAGTAACTTGACAAGTGCTTGGTCTTCCAGCCTCCATCCACCTTAGACCTGTAGTGCTAATTAAGTCAATTGCCCAGATGGTTCTGCACACTGCCCAAGCCTCCACAGAAAAGAACCACAGGCCATTTAGCCAAAACAATATTTTTATGAATAAAATAATTAGAAAAAGACATGAAAGTGGAATGTAATAATCCATTAGCAAAAATTATATACCCTTGTATTTTTTCACTCTAAATGTGAAATACTGAGAGTCATGATGCTGCTCACAGAAACCCTGAATCATCGCAGAAAAGTCGTAGAAAAATGCCACTGGGGCATCAGGAGTCATGCTTATCATCAGTTAAGTAACTGGACGTTCAATCTGCCCCCTGACAAGGAGGGGTCAGGCCTCCCAGGTGGTGCCGTGGTGAAAGAGTCTGCCTGCCAATGCAGGAGAGGCAAGAGACTTGGGTTAAACTCCTGGGGAGGGAAGATCCCCTGGAGAAGGAAATGGCAACCCACTCCAGCATTCTTGCCTGGAGAATCCCATGGACAGAGGAGCCTGGCGGGCTGCAGTCCATAGAGTCACAAAGAGTCGGACATGACTGAGCCATTGAGCACATAAGGAGGGGTCGGGGTTCAGGGCGTGAACGCAGGAGGCTGACCTTGTCGTCTAACGTCAGACACTGCCCGCCCATGGTGTCCAAGCTAAACCACTGGAGATCCCTCTGGGCCTCAGCGTCCTCAGCTCGGCAACGGGGCACTAAGGAGTGAAAACGGCTATGGGCGATGGACAGTGCTACGCATTCCAGGGATAATATGCTCGATGCTATTTGAGAATACACGGCGATGTCCTGTGATTACGAGATAAGTAAGCTCTGATGTGCAGGGTTGTCACAGGAGATAAAAATGCACTGGAGGGCTGGTGGTGAAGCAGAAGCAAGCGCTGGGGAGAATTAGCTGCAGCTGGACGGGAGCTGATACCAGGGGGCATGTCCGCAGCCTCCCCTAGGATCTGGTGTCCTAAACTCCCCCAGGGCTCATGGCAGTGATGCCCCTCGAAGGAAGAAGACAGTATTGGGCTGGTTGTGTTCAGAGAGGGATGTGCAGACATGTGGTGGGGCTGGGAAAAATTATGCAGGACTGTTGGGTGTAAAGAGCTGGGAGGAGTGGGGAAAATGGACTGTTTAAGTAGCACCCCCCAGGACCACGCTGGGTTTCCATTTCCAGTGCATGTGCACCCATTTCTGCCCTGCAAGGGGCCCTGGGTTCTGCAATATTCCTGCCAGTGTGGACTGATGTCTTATCTTTTTCAACATTCCCATTGGATTCTGAACCTCCCATGGCTGCCGGACCTCCTCTCCAGAGATACCTCCTCCGCACTCTCTGCCTTCACACTCATTTTCATGGTCCCCTCCTACCGCTTGTCATTGCTGACCATTACAATCACCCCAACTCCAGGTTCAAGCATCTCTGCCCAGTGCCTTGAGCGGTCCGCATTACCCAGGGTCCGAGAACCCCACACACCGCAGGGTCTTCAGTCCACTGACTTGGCCACAGCCTCACCTCCTCTCAATCCACTTCCCCTTTGCAGGGACTTCACTTCCGGGTTAATATTTACCATCACTTCATGCATATTCCCAGCTCTCTCATTTCTGCCTGTCTCTGCTGCACTAAATTACAACCCAGGTTAAATTCACCTCTCCACCTATTTCATATCAACTGCCTGTGGGACTGGAGAAAACACACATCCACGCTAACTGGAAGAGCAAACCCCAGGGGGCTACCCAGAAAGCCTCAATATTTATTCATACTGTATCATCCTTCCTTCCTCTATGCTGCCTCCAAAACCCCTCCTGCCTCTTAAAACATCCAACACCTCCTTCGTCATGTGTGCCCCCAGCTAACCTCGCTTCCCGTCTCACCAGGTAGAAATAATCAGAACGGAACTGCATCGCCTCCCATCACAACCACCTATCCATCTGAGCAAGTGACCCTGGACTTTACCTTCCCTCCAGATACAAAGCTCAACCCCTTCTCCCCTGCACGAGGTCCTGCCCCTCTCTCTTACTCAAGGACATCACTATAGCAACCTTCCCCGCTCCCTCCAGCACCATCGAATCTGCCCTCCCCCGGACCACCGTCAGCAGAGCAGCAGGCTGGGACGCCCTGCTGGAGACCAGAGCAGAGCACGTGTCTCACCCTCTTCCTCCCGCAGCTCCTGGTCCAGGCCCCTCCCCTTCACAGAGCCGGAAACACTGTCTGTCCTCTGTGCCTCACTTATCTTCTGAGCTCAATTCCAGACAGCTTGGCCATCATCTCTCTGCAGATGCTACGTACATCCTGATGAAGCTGAAGGAAATGAAAAGTCCCAGTAGCAGCAGATGCTCCCCGACTTCAGAAAGTCCGTAGACGCCGAACAAGGGGTCACGCTGGGTTCCCTACTCGCACCAGTGCCACCCCAACCACGTGGGTTCCGCCTACCCAGTGACAAAGTCCGAACCCCCCTCCTCCTCCCCTCCACTGGACCCACCTCCCACACCAAACCAGCCTCCTCCCCGCTGCCTCGTCTGGCCCCTTCATGTTCTGATTTCCCGGGACAGCGATGACTGAATGGGCATGAGCCGCAAGATGACGGTAATAGAATGAGCAGGAGCCCCACGCCACCTCCCCATCACGCCTGGACTGAACTCCGCACCCCACATGCCTGGCCTCTGCCTGCTTCTGCGGCTGCACCCCATCTTCTGCACCCCCACACCTGACGCCCCGGCCACCGCCAGCCTTCTCCTTTCCTAGAGCAAGTCACACCTGTCCCCGCCACTGCCCCCTGCTTCCGTGTGTCCACCTGTTTGGAGCGCTCCTCACTCACGTGTCCCCTGCATCTCCCCTCTCCTCACTCAGGTCTTGGCGCGAACGTCCCCACTTCATGAGGTTCCCTTCACACCCATCCGTGGGTACCCCCTACCCGTCACTATCCATTACATCCATCTCTTGCCTTTTCCTGAGAGCGCTAGTCGCCATCTGAAATATCTTGTTTATTTTCCATGACTTTTTTTTATCCTTGCTTAGATGTTTGGTCCATGAGAGCAGCTATCGTGCTGTCTGGTTGAATACGACATCCCTCAAACACAGATCGATGCCCAGCCCAGCGGGTCTTCAATAAGGACTTGCTGCCACAGTGGATAATAAGAGCGGATACTTCCTACCCTTCTTTGAAGTGTTGCTTTCTGCGTGTGTGTTTCTCGTATATTAACCCTTAATCCTCACGACCATTCTACAAGGCCACGCCTCATTATTCCAACGTGATGAGAGAGAAAGGTGACCTGCGGACAGGCGCGTGATACACCCACAGCCCCAGAGCCAGGCCATCACGCAGGCAGAGCAGGAGCCCAGCTCTTGCCGCCACCAGAACGCAGGCTGTCCCCATAAACATTGCTTGAGAATAAGAAAGGTTAGAGCCGAGTGTTTGGGCATAACTTTGATTTTCTTTTCCCCCCCAAAGCATGGAAAAGAGAGGACGGTAAAATGGTCTCAGCCTCAAAAATGTAATGGAACAGAGCATACCTTGGGAAAATAATTTCAATTTTTCTCCAAACGGTTCTAAGCATAGTTACTAGGTCTTCCACTATACTGATCAAACAGAAGCAAATATATATTATAATATAAAAGTGGCATTTCCTCTTTAAGAATTCATGTTTGAAAATGCTTTTTAAACTTCTTTTTAATGCTGTTTGGCATTATGAAGGGGGAGAGCAGTAAATCGATGTCACACTCTTCCTCATGACCTAGAAAAAGTAGTTGTGTTGAGCAGTCACCCATGTCCCCAGGTACCATGTAATTATTTCCCCAGGAATGCTCATGTTGACAGCTGTTTAGAGTTGTTCTGTGTTTTATCATGCTAATCAAATAATGCCTTGCAGATACCAGTGGTGGCTCAATATTTTAATCCAACTTGCAAAGCATTGTAGACTTTACTTCATTAAAAAAAAAAAAAAAACCACTGTCAAAAAGCACAACATTATGCAAGCAATTCACCACCCAGCCCTTCTCGGCACTTTGCAGATGTTGGCACATCTTTGATGCAAAAGCAAATACGCCCATCACCCAGGTGGACAGAACAGGTTAAGGCTGAGGGAAGCATCCTCATTCTTCTCTGTGCTTCTGTTGGGTTTTCGGGCTTGCTTAATAAACGTTGGCTGTGCAAGGCTCACCATCACCTGCGAACAAGGGCCCGTCTGGTGACCGGCCCTGTTGGATGTGTCAAGGCGAGGATGTGATGTGGCTTGAGAGTGGTTTACTCACGATTTCATCAGGAGCCAGGAGATGCATGAGTCTGGTGCTTGGCTCCAAGACAGTGTCTGCAAGACCTCCCCAGACAAATGTGCGTTCGCGGGTACTCAGTTCAGGGAACCAGGTGGGCTAATGGGGGGACGGGCAGGCTCTCCATCCTGGGCAGATGGCTCTCCGCTCACGGTCTCCACCCTCACCATCCCCGCTCTCTGACGAATTTCCTCCTTCCCCACCAGGACACATGAGGTTCGATAACGATGCCAGTCAGTAGTTTCAGAAAAACAAATCAACACAAATTCCCTTGTAACCAATCTTTCTTTTTCCTATCAGAGGAAGTCAGATAAACCAGTCAGGCGGAAAGAGCATTATGCTCTACACATGATTGCCAGAGTTTAAAGATATTTTTCTGGTTATAACCATAAAGGAAATTGCCCTCATATCTTTCCATTTTTTTGGAACACATTCTGTAAGAACACAAAATTGGCTCTTAAGGCACAGGCATCCTTGATTGCTAGGAGCGGGTGGTTTCTGTTCCTAATTACTAAGTTAATTACCTCTGAACATAGCGGCTTATTTCCTCAACAGATAAACCCTCCTGCTTCAGACAAGGTGAGGGCTGAGAGCTCTCTGGCATGGACCATCCTCACCATTCCTTCACTCAGAAATAACTGTAAGCCAGGCATAGTATTTATTAGAAGTACCATTTTATTTCACATATTCCACAGTGGGTTTTGTTTTCTTTCCTTAGAGTCAAACTTTGATATTCTTTTTATTCAATTTTCCTGACATGAGGGGAGTCTCACCCATCTCATTGCAATATTTGAAGACTCGAGTAATTTATTGCTCTTTCTCCTCAGCCCAGCCATGAGCTGTAGGGGAAGCTTCCAACTTCTTTAGCATCATTTCTTGACCACTTGGAGACCCTGCAGAGGTCTTCCCGTGAGGGTCCCCCGGGCACTGTCTCCAGGGGGCTGTGTTGACAGGCGGGGCTCCATCCCAGGAAACCCGGAGCCTGGCTGCATATCTGACGCAGGCTGCATGACCTGGGGGAGGATGTGGGTGACCTGCTTCTCCTGAGCCCACATGGAAGGTGGGAGCGGCCCGAGGTGAGTCTGCGGCCCCCGGAGGTGCTCAGACACAGGGGCGAGCAGACTGCAGAGCCGCATTCCCCGCCCACGTGCAGCCCCCGTGCAAGGAGGCCTGGCAGGAAACATCCCCCAGAGAAATGTGGTGGGAGCTGGGCCAGCTGTAGGGTCAAGAGGCAAGTACGCGCTCCTGGCCCCGAGATGAAGTTGGGCAGGCCCTCTGCTTTCCCTGGGGTGACCCAGAAGGGCATTATTGCCGGCTCTGCATTTCCACCAGCCCACACATACAGAGTGATAGGAGAACAGGGCAGCCCAGGGTCGGGTGCCCGGGACCAGGGCCCCAGGGCAATCTCTGGGCAAACCCACAGACTGTGGACGCCCCCACTCGCCCTCCCCCGGCACGGACCGCCCAGGAGGACTTTCCTGGCGGGAGGAGCTCACACTGTGGCTGCTTCCGTGGGAGCTGCCAGGGCTCGTTCTCTCGGCCTGGACAGACCACCAGTCCCGGGGGCAGTCCCCGGAGCCCCCCACCACCATCTGTGCTTCCGGGAAACTGTCAGTTCCCGGCTGCCTTCCCGTCTGCCCAGGGCCTGGTTGATGAGGCTCCAGGGACGCCTCCATATGCCAGGGACCAGTCCCAGCCTTGCAGGAGCGTGGCGGTGGCCGAGGGCCTGGTGGACGCCGGTGACGAGAGGCCGTCCTGCTCGGCCCCCGCTGTGATGCTGACACTAATCACCTCGCATCCAGGAAGGATTGGGGGCTGCACACTTAAGGGTTTTTTAAATAATTGCTTGAGTTCTCCCAGCAGAGCTGTGATGGGAGCAGCTCACAGTTTTGCTCTGTCTGCCTCTGTCTGTGAGAAGCTCTGAGAGAGTTAAGGGGACCATAGGCACCCGCTCAGGCTGCCCCCCAAGGCAGTGATCCTCACGGGATCCCTTCTTCCCAATGAGGGGACCCCGCCCACTCCCGTCCCCCTGGATCTGTGAGTGCATGGCTCAGGGAGCACAAATGCCCCCTCTTCCTCTTTTCCTCTGGGCTCTGACCTTGGATGACCTTCCGGATCCTAAGACGGACTCTCGGCCCTTGGCGCTGTGGGCGTGTAGACCTCCGCACCGTGTGTAGGGTGACAGACTGCAGTGGGAGCTGATGGCTGGTCCTGGGAAGAGCCGCTCTGGCGGCCAGCCTCCTCTGCCGCCTGGCTGAATCCCTGGGCAGGAAGCCAAGCATTTACCCCATGCCGGCAGCAGCTTGATCACTGAGAGCTGAGTGAGCTACGGCAGGGGGGTTGCTCCTGCCCCAGGATAATTCCCACCCCGCACCCCAAGGATGCTCCACACTCCACCTTCAGAGAGGCAAACCCCAGGTCTTCCGATGCCTCACCAACCGTGTCTCCCAGGGCTGCCCTGCAGCTCCGCCTGGGCCTGGTCACCAGGCCATCAGCTCACGCCCGTGGGGACGGCTACACCGGCAGAGGCGGGGGTACCTGAGGGCCTTGCCACCCACAGCACTCAGAGACCCGTGGGCAGCTCTCACTAAGTGCCCACCGTGTTCCCGACCTGGGCTACTGCCAGGAGGTGGGCCCTCCGAAGGCCCCTTGGGTCTCCCCAGGACACTCACAGCCTCCTGCTTGTAGAGGGATGCTGGAGGAAGGGGACGGAAAAACGCCTCCCCCAGCGCTGACCGGGGGTCAGCAGAGCCCACGTGCTGACAGAGCAGCTCCAGGAGGCTGGGGCCGTCACGGAAGTCACAGGTATCTGAGTCTATCCTGGCCAGTGTAACGAAACACCCCAGCCTGGGAGACCAACGTCGTTCAGCTGTTCTGTCAGGTCTGACTCTGTGACCCCATGGACTGCAGCGCGCCAGGCTTCCCGTCCTTCAGCATCTCCCAGAGTCTGCTCAAGGGCTGAGCCTATTCTCGGGGCCGCTGCCCTCTCCAGGGCTCCACCCACATGCACTTTCACCTCCTCACAGCATCACGCCAGGGTGTGTGGTGTGAATTTGGGGACCACACGCCAGGGCAGGCCCAGGCCCTCGTTCTCCCACCCTGCCCACACCCGGCCCCTTGGTTTCACAGACCTTCCCACAACACAAGCACCCCTGCACATCGGGGACTCCCATCGGTGAGTGCAGGCTTCAGGCCACGCCGCTCATCCCACTGCTCTGCCTGCCCCGGGGGCACAGCGGGCAGCAGGCCACCCAGCCTGTGTCCTCCTGAAGCCCAACATGGGCAGGGAGGTCAAGGGAGGTGGGACCGGCCACTGACACAGTCCACTTTGCGGACGGCTGTTTATCCTCCCGAATCCCTGAAGGAGACGGTATCACCTCCACCTCCCGACAGAGGCACTTGGGTCTCAGATGATATATCTCCTTTCCCATAGTCGTTCCATCGCTGAGGGGCGAGACCCTCATCACCAGCACCCCTGCCTCTCCGCTGAGACCACAAGCAAATTCACAGCTCCGGCTCAGAGCGCGCCCTCAAGTTCACAAAGCCACACCTCCTCTGGCTCAAACCTGGGCAGTGTTGCAGGTGAAAGCTTTGGGAAAGGTAAAATCACTTCCACCAGAGCATTCTCTTGTCCTCGGTGGGGGCAATCAAGCCCTCACCTGATCGGGTTGGGGGTCACCCTCACTGCCTGCACTATTACTCAGGACAGCGTTTGCTCAGCTACTCTCCACGGTTCCTCCTTTGCTCACTTAGAAGAGCATCCTCACGTCTGGGTATCATCTCCCGAAAGGAAAACCTCCATGAAAGCCCCAAGATGATGCCACCTTCTGGGTTAAACAGTCACTGGAAACAAAGGCATCTGGAAAGACAGGCTTCTCTTCAACTCCCCAAGTGACTTGCTGGTGAGTCCTTTAGAAACAGCCTGATGAGTTGGAGCTTAACTCCCCACCTGCCTGGGAGCTGGTATAAAAATGAGGAATGATCGTAATCCTGTGCCTCTCAACTCCATTTTAATTGAAAATTATGTCGAAGATCCCTGCCTATCTGGACCTCGCCTGTCTCCATCCTTTCAAGGTGCATGGATTTATGCGCCTGCTCTTATGAAAAGCTCTGCTATTTCCCATAAATATGCACAAGTTTCTGTTTGTACAATAAATATTACAAAGATCATAAGGAAATTAAAATGGAGCTTGAAGACGGCTGTCCTCTGATGATACACCGCGCATGAATCATGTCCTCAGGAACGTCTATCCCCAACCATCAGGCTTCCTATATAAATATTTCCACTCTTCGGTTCTAAATGGCAGAGGAGAGCCTGGCCTAATGGATTTACAGTTTATCAGTGAGTTTCAGGGAAGGTGTAGACGAATGGCTTCTCCCCAGTCTAGAATTTATTTATAAACAATCGACCACTTTCAACTTTGCAGTCTGTTTGTTTTGGTAAACTGGCATGCTGGCTGCAATTCACTTTGTTCTTAAAGAAGAGCGGATTACCTACACCAGCTGAGGACCTGCATTCCTGTGGATTAAGTCATCAGAAAGTATTTGCAGAGGCATTTTTAAGGTACAGATGTTTATCTTATTTCCTAAGCATTCAATTTCTCCCTTGGGCACTGGGACGTGGTTCTAAAGATGGAGGTGTGCATGAAGTCAGGTTTAGAGCATAAATTGAATGGCCCTAACACAGATGCGTGACTAGAGATGGATGATAAACTTGAACGATAAAACGCCCAGCACCCGGGACACCCTGTAGCCCTGGCCTGAGCGGCTCTGACATTGGCCGTGTGACCAGTGTCGAGGTTGCCGGGAGCAGGTGCCCTCAGCTGAGTCCTAGGTCTCACAGCTGGAGGGCCTGGACCATCAGCCCCACAAGCAGAGATGTTGCCCCACTACTACGCCATTCCAGTGTCTGCAGGCATCCTGGTGCACAGGAGATGCTCAGTAACTACCACTAAAATTACAACAATTAAACACACCCACGAAGCTCAGTGTTTGTCTGACCTGATGGAATCAAAAGCGGGAAGCATCAAGAGTCACCCCAAAGCTCTCCAGGTCAGCAGCCACCTCAGGCTCCACGCTGGATGCTTCGAGTCCCTTGTCAGTATATGCAAAGCCACCCAGGGGTCCATCTCAGCGTCTCCAGGGGTCACCCCAGGCTCAGGCAGGGAGCCCCAAGGAGAGGCCCTCGAGGGTAGAATGTTCAGGAGGTGCAGGGCGAGAGTGGGATCACACACGCTGGATGACCGGACCCCGAATCCCCCAGGCAGACCCCCAAGAGCGTTTGCTCTCCCTGCCTCTGTCTGCACGTCCTGACCCCTGGGAGGCAGCGGCTGCTTCCCCGAAGCCTAGAAGGACCCACTTGGGCCCCTCCAGCCAAAGCTTTGGATGTCCCCCCACACCGTACCCTGGAGGAAGGGCCTGGCTGACAGGTGGGTGTGGGGAAAGCCCAATGCCCGGGATTAGGCTCCAGCTGCCCGCCAAGTGGCCACTCAGAGGACAAAACAGCCAGGATCACCACTAGTGTGAGCGGAAGGGGAGGGTCTCCAGGGGTGGAGGAGTGTGGTGGGCTGGGGGGGGGAACTCCAGGCGGTATCACAGGCTGACATTAGCAGGGCCCCTGGGCCAGCACCCCTGCCCCAGGTAGCTTCCTGGGCTCAAGAGAACCCCCCCACAGGTGCCCACGACTGCCCACTGCACCTTCTCCCACCAGGGGACACCAGCCTTTAGATGCCTGAGACCCACCGGTGAAGGCAGACACTGTGCTCTCCCCCAAGACACGTCTGCCCTCCCCGCCCCTGGGGCCAGGTGACTGCTGTTTCCAACAGCAACGAGCACCATGGCTTGTTGTGGAAGAGACTTCATTCCACACCTTGTCATTACTTTAAAAGAAGAATGGGTCAGGAAGCCGAGGACCTTGGAGGATCAGCATAGAGATGACGGGCGGCACTCACCCGGGTACCTGCCAGCGCACCCCAGTTAGCATCAGTGGCCATTCTCATGGCCCAGCTCAGTGATGGCCTGAAGGGAGGTTGTCTGGTCATTTCCCCCCAGGCCACACCCCCTCTGCTGCGTGAAGATGCCCCCAGCTGGTGCGGGACCGAGGGGCTGAGAGCAGGCATCCTGAAGCTGCTCATCAGCCCCCCCGGGGCCCACCCCCTGCTCCTGCCCCCAGCAGAGGGCAGGGCACCCTCGGCCACCCTGGGACCCACTGGAACCTTGGGCCTGGCTCCCGGTGGGAGAGCACTGGAGACCAGACAGGTCCACTCCCTTCTGGAGAAGCCCCCTTGTACCACCTTTCTACAGGGACGGCGAGTGAGGAAGGATGGGTCAGGCCCCAGGGAGGCTCCTGGGTCAGCTCGGGCCCCCAGGACTGGGTGAGGCCCTCTGCAGCCTTCCCCCAAAGAGGACCTGCTGCTGAGCCTGGGCGGCACCCGAGCCTGGGCGTCCTGCCGGGAGGCGATGGGATCGAGTCCTTCCATACACCCTGTGGGCAGCCGGGTCCTCATTCCCAGACACCACTCTATCTCCTCATCCGCGTCTCTCCTGGACCCGACAACAGGCGCCTTCAGTTTATAGAACAAGAATCTGAAGTTAAAGGGGTTGAGTAACTCTGGAGTCACAGTTGCTCATAAACAGAGCTGGGCTTCAAGCCCTTACTCTAAAACCCATGTCTCTGATGACAAGTGGGGACATAACTGACATAGAACATTGTGCAAGGTTACTGTGTGCAAGGTGCTTATCTGATACATATATCCTACAAAGTGACCTCCACCCTCCCTCCACCCTCCCTCCACCCACCCTCCATCCCGACCTCCACCCCGACCTCCACCCTGACCTCCACCCCGACCTCCACCCTCCCTCCACCCTGACCTCCACCCCGACCTCCACCCTGACCTCCACCCCGACCTCCACCCCGACCTCCACCCTGACCTCCACGCCGACCTCCATCCTCCCTCCACTCTCCCTCCACCCTGACCTCCACCCTGACCTACACCGCGACCTCCACCCCGACCTCCACCCTGACCTCCACCCCGACCTCCACCCCGACCTCCACCCTGACCTCCACCCTCCCTCCACCCTGACCTCCACCCCGACCACCACCCTGACCTCCAGCCCGACCTCCACTCTGACCTCCACCCCGACCTCCACCCTCCCTCCACCCTGACCTCCACCCTCCCTCCACCCTGACCTCCACCCTGACCTCCACCCTGACCTCCACCCTCCCTCCACTCTCCCTCCACCCTGACCTCCACCCCAATCTCCACCCCGACCTCCACCCTGACCTCCACCCCGACCTCCACCCTCCCTCCACCCTGACCTCCACCTTCCCTCCACCCTGACCTCCACTCTGACCTCCACCCTGACCTCCACTCTGACCTCCAACCTAACCCCCACCCTGACCTCCACCCTCCCTCCACTCTGACCTCGACCCCGACCTCCACCCTCCCTCCACCCTGACCTCCACCCTCCTTCCACCCTGACCTCCACCCTCCCTCCACCCTCCCTCCATCCCGACCTCCACCCCGACCTCCACCCTGACCTCCACCCCGACCTCCACCCTCCCTCCACCCTGACCTCCACCCTGACCTCCACCCCGACCTCCACCCTCCCTCCACCCTGACCTCCACCCCGACCTCCACCCTCCCTCCACCCTGACCTCCACCCTGACCTCCACCCCGACCTCCACCCCGACCTCCACCCTCCCTCCACCCTGACCTCCACCCTGACCTCCACCCTCCCTCCATCCCGACCTCCACCCCGACCTCCACCCTGACCTCCACCCCGACCTCCACCCTCCCTCCACCCTGACCTCCACCCTG